TCATCCAAAAGTCCCTAATGCTGACGCGGCTAATGTCAACACAAACTACGCAATCGTCTGATACTGAAGCCGTGAAAGCTTTGTTGGTCCGTCGATGACGTCATCAATGCTCATTTGGGCAATCCTTCCGGGAGCCGCTAGTCTACGGGACTGGGGCATCGGCCGGGTCCGGGTCACTCCGGGTCGACCCCGGACGACAGCTTCGGGTCGACTCCGGACGGCAGCTCCGGGCGGGGTCCACTGGCTCGAGCTGTTCCGGGGGGCTTCGGTACGATGTGGGACTCTCCAGATGCCTGTCAGTCGTGTGGTTAACGGTTAGTCGGTCAGACGGTACGTGCATGCCGTATACTGTTTGACTATCGCCGATATCGCAGGTGAGTCATCTGTCAACCACAGGCGATTTGTATCTAATGTAAACGGAAAACCTGGGGCGGCTTCGCTATTTGACGACACAGTGTTGGTATGGAGAAAGTGCACCGCGGTGCGGTAGCCGGCACCGAGCTCGGCATTTGTGACGGTCGCAATAAAAACATTGTGTTTTTGTGGGATTCCTCGGGCACAGATAGCAGTGGTGTTTCTTTCTGAAGGCCTCGGCGACTCGACTCGCCACCTCCCCGCACCCCGGGTTTCAGTATCCGCCTGCTCACGCTGCCATCACCTCTGCGTGATTGATAAAGTAACAACATCAACCCTTTTAGTGCAGGATATTTGTCTTCGCAATAGCGCAGCGCTCTTCGATGGAGACATTAATAAGTGAGTCGCATATGGCGCTGCTACCTCAAAGAGGCATTCGGTTGGTGTCTGGCCCGATTCTAATATTTCGCTGCGTAAGCCTCTTTATTCGGTGATGATTCAACCCGGAACACGGCTGGCTGCACGGTGGGATGCTGTTGCCGGTATGTCGGCCAGCTAATCCCGCCCGTCAGCCCGCTGATGATTTGTCGCTGAACTGGCCACTGATGCGCAGGCCTACTGAACCGTGACCCGCGGCCGGATGCTCGAGCCGCCCCCGCCTGCACCATTACGTAACAATGCTGGTCACGACGCAATCGCGGAACCGTTCCTTTCTGCCCAGTGGCCGCCGCGTGACGCGCTACTCTGTCCGGGAGAAACTGCTGGCGTCTGCCAGTCACGTGGTGGCGATATGGAAAGGAAAACACGGTCGAGACGCAACAGAGTCTGTCACGCCGCGTATGACGGCGCCGGAAGTGTTGGCAGAGGTGACAGATGCGTGGTGCGGGCGTGACAGTCTGACGCCAGCCATACGCTGCCGGGCCTCTGGCAGGTGTTGGCGTCTTTTTGCCGCAGCTGCGCAGGCTCTGTGGTAACAGCCTATCTACCGATAACGTTATCGCCGCCATCACGCCTCGCCATACAGTGGACTCTGCGATGTGTGGGTGTTTTACGCCCCTATAACTGGTTGGAAACGGATAGATTTTGCCGTATGAAGGCCTTGATTGTCCGTGTTGAAGGCTGCGCAATGCGCATCGCCAATCACGCGGGAGGACGTTGATTGCTGCGGGAAGAGCTGCTGATTTCGGAAGCTCGCAGGTCACCTGGGTTGACGTCAATCCTTTGTTGTGATGTGCAGGGTACACGGTTTGATATGCACACTAGGAAGTGGGTGAACTGTTAAAATATACGGCGAGGTGTATGTGTATGCGTGACTGTACTTTTTGTGTCGGTATTCCCGGTGCTGGTCCGGACCGGGATCCTTCTCAGTAAACATCCGGCGTGCGGTCCTCGTGCGCTCGCTCCAGGGCCGGGTCCAGGGCCGCTATCAGGCCGCAGGGCAGCTTCAGCGACGCCCACGGGCTCGACGTATCTTATCCTGCTGACAACGCTGACCTCACCATGGCTATACACACACAGTACACACGCCCGTCTCGGTTATCTCAGCTGAGAAGGCGGGCTGTGTGCCTCTCTCCGGCCTTCCATCGCCACTGCGCCGGCATGACTGCGCCTCTGATTACCTCGGTGCCGAGCTGCTGACCTCACCGCGGTGCCAGTGGCGCTGCATCTGGTGCAGGGAGGCCGTCACCGGCCTCTCCCGTCAGCGACCGGGCCGACCGGCGGGGGTCGGTCGGTCGGGAAAAGGACTGCAGCAGCACAGCGCCGCGGCGGCGACACCACAGCCCCCGCGGGGCTCTTTGTCTCGCGCGGCGCCGGCCTTTGTGGCGCCGCGCGCGGTTCAGAGCCGTATCCGGCGCGACCGGCGCACGTGCGGCGCGTGCCGGCCGGCCCCGAGCCGTGCCTGCCAATACGGGACTGATTGGCTGTGATTGGGGAGCACGGTATCTGGATCACCGCCATCAGCTATACGTCACTTCCGCCCCTGGGCTGCGCCATACTCGTGCGTGCACTGGTTTATCTCATATAACTTCTAACAAAAATGGTTAAGGTCAATGTTCAATGTTCCTTCTCTGAATTTCATCACGATACGCTATGTTTAGATAGGTTTGCAAATTATAGTGACCTTTCCTGTGACTTTATCTAAGCCTTCTCGAAATATTCACTTTTTGTATGCGCTTACGCGAGTATTTTTGTGATGTGTCCATGCTCCAGCCAAATACTGTTGACACCACCGCATCTTTTTGGTATGTGCGCTGACAGAACAGCACAGTGTCGGCCCCTGAGGAATTCAGTGACATTCAGTGACATTCAGTGACATTCAGTGGCATTCGGTGACATTCAGAGTCCGGTGGGAGTCGCGTGGACGATGGCGGAGGGGCGGGGCGGGACGGGCGGCAGCTCGGCAGGAGGTCCTTCGGGGGACGCGGCTGGCGTCTGAGGTCACTAGATGAATGAGGGGGTCGGATGTGATTACAGCGCCCATCGCTGCCTCCCACGTCAGCGGCTGTGTAGCTGTGTGTCCGCCCTCCCTCTAAGGGGGCGGAGCGGATGCAAAGCTGTGCTTACGGAGACGCCGTTGATGTGCTGAGGACGTGTTATGAGCTGACTTCTGTCGTCCGTGGGTTTCCGGACCATTTACCTGGGTGTCATCGTGCTGCGAACCCATGCGATGTTTATCTGAGCACCGAGGGACGATGAACGAAGGCCATTACACTGTCATTCTCTCATTCACTCACGTCATTCACTCCTGCAGAGGAGATTCCGTTTTAGTATCGTTTGATATCATCCCATACCTACGAATCATCTCTTGTATCAAGAAAGACGTTCAACGGCCAACGCATCGCTCACCAGATCCTGCCTACAAAGTATTTGACCGCAGTCTAATTGAAAACCGGAATTGAATCTGCATCGTCAGTCGTCACACATTCGTAGGTTGCGGTGACCGGTTGGGTTTCTCTCTGAATGGGGTCGGTCCGCGTTCAGGTTTGATGCGGCACGAGCGCGGGTCACTGCCGGCAACCGGTCGGGGCGGAGGAGGATCGGCCTAGATGGCGGCGAGCGATTGCCGAGTGGTCGCTCACTCGGGTAGGTTCCGGGCTGGTCGGATTGGCGAGGATCGGTTCAAAGAGCGCGGTCCAGTTGTTGAAGTTAGGTCAGGAGGTGAGTGAAGTTATAAGGAGGCCCTGTGTGCGACGTGCGTGCTAAATGTCGATCAGGGAGGTCGAGGACAGGTTGACCTAGGGTTATGCTGTGTGTACTGGACTGTCCGTTGACTGGTTTTGCGGCCAGTCCGGTTCCGCGTCGGGTCAGTCGGGTCGGCGGACGGATGGGTCAGGCTGGTCGGCGACATAAGTCCGCCCTGGAGCGCTGTGTCAACGGCATTAGTCCGCCCTGGAGCGCTGTGTCAGCGGCATTAGTCCGCCCTGGAGCGCTGTGTCAGCGGCATTAGTCCGCCCTGGAGCGCTGTGTTGGCGGCGTTAGAGTGGGGCAGCCCCGGCTCGTCAACGGCAGGACGTGACGAGACTGGTCTATCCAGCCGGCCGATCACGTTCCGTCGGGCTGCAACCGTTTGGAGCCTGTTTCTGGTTCGTAAAAATGGCTGGACGCTATCGTTTACCCGCATGCAAGAGAAACAATGTTCAGCAACAATCAGCAAACACAAAGCAGTCACGTTTGCACATTATTGCACGTTACGAAGAAAAATATGACCACCAACAAGTCTATGTTCCGTTCGAATATTGCCACGGTTCCGACTCAATCAAATGATTATCACGCCTGCATTAAATATGCATGGCACGGTTAGTTGGCTCTATTGTCGCGTGACGGGCGGGTCTCGTCCTACCCCTGCGCCCGTATATCGACCTCCACCCACTCCCTCCCACTCCGCCCCCCGGTGCAGGATCGGGGCGTGGCTGGACACGGCCAGGACCGCTTATATGGGCAGGCCGGGCTAAACTCGGGCTGACGAACGGGGAGCTGGACTTGTAGCTCAGACTGATGAACTTGCGGCACGGGCGGAGTTCGGAACAGTGGACTGACTTATCCGAGCTGCGTTCGTGCCAGTGAACTCACGGTGGACTGGGCTGGAAGTGGTGATCCGTATTCCGTGGGCTGAGCAGAGTTCGAGTCCGGAGCTGAGCTGTACTCAGTCCTGTGAACTGACAGGCAGGGACAGAGCTGGGCGCGCTATGTACCCACGTACCGGGTGCAATGCTGCACGACGTGCGGGCCAACAATGGGCGGAGTTCGCAAAACCGGTTCCGGAATGCAGCGGTTTTGCACGGGCCGCCCGTATTCCGTGATGGTGTGTTAATGCACTGCGCTGAGATGAGGTGGCACTAATAACCAAAGCCGCCAACCAAGGCCTGATGGAAATGTCAGCAATGGAGCGTCCAAAAGTTTTTGGAACTGTGGTGGTCTAACGGGAATTTAAGAGTAGTTTTGGACCTGCATCTGGGATCAGTTTGGCAGCTGCGGAGAAGCTATTGACTAGAATACGTGCGACGGTCTGATTTACTGAGAGCTATGTTTGATTTTTACAGATGGTTGATGTATTTGACGCGTTAGACGGGCTGTTCAAGAATGGTAGCTTGGACTGCCGCACTGACATTGTACCGTGCTGACTGTCGTTCCGTCTGTCTCCGCAGGTGAAGGTGAAGACTCGCACAGTGGAGCTGTGCTGTAAGGGCTACACCGAGTCGGCCAACCGCTGCCAGGCCGTGTGCAGTCCAGAATGTCTGCACGGCCGGTGCACCGAGCCCAACAAGTGCGTCTGTGCCTCCGGCTACGGCGGACCCACCTGCGAGCTGTGTGAGTACCCATACTCGGCATCCTCCCCTTTTCTACACACAGACGTCCATAAACTGCCTTAAACTCTAATGATTACGAACACAATGAGCTGAGAGAGTTCGGCAAAATGAGAGACGTCATTCATAACTTCGGTCACACTTCACAGATACTAAAGCTGACCAACCGTATCGTTGAGACACATTAAAGCGAACATATCTGATTCAGTCCCACTGTTCACGTAGATCTAGCCCCCAAAGTGTAATTTAGTTTGTACCTTAGCTGTTCGGCATTCAAATAACCTCTGAGTATCTATTGACGATGTTGGAATGTGTGGCAGCTAATGGATCTCGTAAGTGAACAGCTATATCAACAGCTTGGCTTTCCGCTTCATAGCTTGGCTAACTCAACATTACCTATATCCAACAGAGCGACATGCAACGCTGCCAATGTAGAACGAGATCGACGCTGTATTCTGGCTTTTTACTTCTGTACCACATAGGGCTTAATGAAGTAGCTGATCTGCTTACAGGCTCGCTCTCATAATAGCCGGAAACTATAGGTATACAGTAGTTACGAGCGAGCAGTTACAGCAGTTAGTTACGAGCGAGCTAGCGCAGCGAGCAAAGCGAAGTATTTTCAAATAAGGGAAAAATCTCAGTATGAGCGGCCCGGCCCGGGCCGGGCCGGCCTGTAACGCTTTTGAGAGGCTTATATCTCAGCAACCGCTGCAGCGGTTGCTGAGATAGCAACCGCCAATCGGTCCAGCGCGCTGGACTGATTGGCCTGCGGTCTTTTTTGCTGGGTAGCCCCATCCCTTCTACCCCGTAATTGACTACTTTTGATACATTTCAGTGACCGTCGTGGCACGTGCCACGTGAAAAGCCAAGGGTGTTCAAGCTGTTTTGCAAAAGTAGTGATTTTGAGAGGCTCATATCTCAGCAGCCGCTTGGGCGATTGTCTTGCGGTAATTTTTGTAGGGTAGCTGCATCCCTTCTACCAAAGGTCGGATAGGTACTCTTGATCTATGTGAGTGACCCCCACTGCACGTGCAAAATGCAGAAAGAAGAGGTGCCAAATTTGTTCCCATTTCAATAACTCGGTAATTACTGGGGCGATTTCGCTGAAACTTGGCATACAGGTAGGCACCCACCAGGCAATGCATTCCCATGTGTTGCGGTTGGGGTGCTACTGCACGTGCGCACGTGCAGGGGGCGCTTCCGGATCTCGAGAACGGCTGGGCCGATTGCGCTCAAATTTGGTATATGGTTGGGGACCGGTTAGTAGGGTCGGGTGCCGTGCGAAAGTCAGTTTGGACCCCATTTGCACGTGCGCACGTGCAGAATGCCGTTTCCAGATCTCAGGAACGGCTTGGCCGATTGTGCTCAAATTTGGCACACTGCTAGCGACCGGTTAAAAGGGTGCTTTGCACAAGCCCGTTGGAAGTACCCTCTCGCCCTTCCGCACGTGCAGGGCTCACTATCTCGCTCGCTCGTTCTTCGCCCAAAAGGCGTTTTACTGGTTATATGACTACTCGGAACTTGTTTTCACTGCACCGTTTTTTTATGAGGAGCCAGTGCAGCGAACAAGGTTGCCATGCCGTGAAGTTTGAAGAAGATGCCCTCTTCTCGATGACACCGCAGCGATAAGCGTATAAATGCACCGTGAATGTAGCTGTTGTCTCATTCCGATCGCACAACTGAGTCTTGTTCGAAGCTGATTGGCTGCCCTGTGTTCATACTTCATACAGAGCCTGTCTATTATGGGAAGCAGCATGTTTGTCCTTTACACCACACGGAGGTCACTGAGATGTCGCACTTGGTAACGAATGAGGACGCAGCTGGCTATCTGTCGACGCCATCGGTCTCCGTATCATCCTACTTCGTTCTGCTACCTTCTCCCTGCCCATACACCACACCTCACACCATGAAGATTTTCCATTCACTTCTCCGTTATCCCGGACATTTTCTCGGTGTCGTTCGGTCACGCTCCGCGGGACGCTCGTTTCCGCCCGCTTTGTGTGATGGCGAGAAGACGTCTGACCGAGAAGTGCTCCGTTTTGTTAGGCTCACCAGGAGCCGTCGGTGTGACTAAGGCACGCGTCGAGAGACCTCACGTGGTACGTGAGGAGTACGAGTGCTTACATTGGGATCAGGGCGTCGGAGCGCCGGCGGTGGGCTGGAAAATGTTCATAGAGTGCAAGTCATAACGTCCAGCAGGGTAGCTGGGAAAATTAGTCATCAAGGGTGATTCAGATACCTAGATAAGTCGTGGCAGCTGTGAATGATATTGGCACGTGAGATTTCCTGAATTAAGAGTCGGTTACAAACATTTTTTTGTCGGTCATTGCAATTACAGTTTAGTTTAACTTCCGCTGTCGAAATGAATAGCTGTTATAACAGCCTATTCATTATCAACCGGAGTGAGTTGAGTATGCTCTGCCAGTTAAAAAGGTTAAAAAGTTCCAAACAGTTTTCAGGCGTGGCTTCTTCCATTGCTCCCTTGACACCTGAATGCAGTGAAGAGGGTCTCCTATCCCGTCGTATCGCTCTGTCGCAGGACGTTTCACTGGGGTCATCCAATTCCGCTGGCACCCCGGGGAGTCGGGTCGGCGGCGGCGGGCCCATGTCGATTGTCGATCGTCGTCGGCGGCGGCGGGCCAAGCTCTGCGCCGCGGCGGGCCGTATGGTCGCGGGCCCACCGACCCGGCGCCGCCGCCACCGCTGCATTGTGGCATTGATCGGTCGGGGTGCGGAGGGCTGGGAGGGGCCGGCGCCGGGGACGGACGGGCTGGGGGCTGCGCCAGCTCTCAGCTCGCCCACCGGGCGGCCCACGCAGTCAGCTCGCGGCGCCGGCGACCCACGCCCGCCGCCGCACGCCTCGGGGCATCCCGAGAAGTCACCGTGTCTGATGGAGGGTGGACGGTTCGAGTACACCCGTCCCGACCGAGCCGTGACCGTGATGCCACTCTAGTCAGGGCTCGATGACGCACTGCGCGCGGCTGCAGCTGCAACTGTGCCAGTAGTCGGTATTACTGAGCTCGCAGTCAGCCTCGCTGCAGAGCGGAGGACATGTAGGTCTGCCGTTCGTCAGGAATGTATATGTGATGCCGCGGATGAAGAACTACATCTAGGTACGGACCATGACGCACTGCCAGCCTCCGCCTGCACCGTGTTGATACGCTAAACCATCGCTTCAATGGAAATTCTGCTCACTCATGCACGTGTTTTCACGCTTACGGCTCATCAGCTACATTCCAGTAAATAATCAGAGATCCGGCGAGCCACGGTGGCTGCGCCGTACGGAGCGACGCTGGCATGCAACAGCACCACGCTCCAGAGACTCAAGTTTCCGTCGAGCCGCCGTGGACTTTGTTTGTGTCGCACCGAGTCTCGGCATTGTGCCACGGCCGGCTTTGATAGGAGCTTCAGACGTGTCCGCGGCTCCTTCGAACCGGTGTCCGGTGGACGAGATCCGGCTCCCGGGACAGGATCCGATTCACCCCGTCCCACTCGGTGCAGGCTGCTCACGAGTCCGGACCTTGCTAATCACGAGTCCGACCTCCGGGCTCGGGTTCGATCGTGAGGCTGGAATGCAAGTCTTCCAAGGTCATATTCTCATAACGTTTTATGCTAAGTCATAAAGCATTTTGTGATGAAAGTCGAGCGGGTTCACTTGAAGGTTAAAACGACGTATGCTCGTATTATAAATATAAGATTCCAGGTAAGACGCGCCGTTTTCAGATTCTGGAGATCGCATAGATATAGCACAATTATATAAGTTCGTGTCTTTTTCGGTTCACCATTTTCAAGGAGTAGACCAGTTAATTACATAACTTCCAATCCTCGGTTTCTCGTCGAGAGTAGTCTGAGCTCACTGTGGCCGCTCTGACGGCAGCGCACGAGCGGCTCAGCTCGCCCGGCTGAGCCGCTCGCCTGTCGCCGTCACGGCTCAGGTGACCGTGACACCGAGCTGCGGCGCGTGACGCCGGGATCACGTTCCACGTGACGGCTGGTCGCGACACCCGACCGGCGTGGTGACGTGACGGCGGTCGTGACTCTCGAACTCGTTGTGATGGGGGAGGGTCTGCGCTGTCACACGTCGTCAGGGCGGCGCTGTAACTGCAGCAGGGCTGTAACATGCCGCCGGTGCAGTGGGCGGAGAGACGGTGCTTTATAGACATCTGGCATTCATAGCTTGTTCCACAGCGACACATGGTATTGGCTGAATGAAAGCTGAATGCAATAATGCTTGGCAAAGGCTCAGCCAACCTTGTTCCGTCCCGTTACTTTGACGTTTGTGACTTCTCTGAAGCGTTGTCATGTCCGGTTAGTGGTTATTATGTATAGTCGACTACAGAATGTTGTTCCACTTTTCACAGGCCATTATTTGCCTGGAGTGGTAGGCTGTGCCGCATGACACGGGCTGAGTTCACAAATTATAGCTTTGTCCCAATGCTCACAATCGACACGCTTAATTGCGTGATAAACGGCACAACTTAGCGCTCCGGTCAACTGATAGCTTCTGAGGAGTGGAACGTCATTCTATAGTCGACTTTACCTACCTATAACTATGTAGCCAGTTTTTGTAGGTACCTACATCATACCTAATGTTGCTTCTCTCTAACTCTCGCAGGCACGGTCCGTTTTAGCCCTGTTACTCTCTCTATCTTCCTCTCCCTTCCTCTCTCCTCTCACTTCTCTCTCTCTCTCTCTTTCTCTCTCTCTCTTCCTCTCCCTCTTTCCTTCCTATCACCATTCCTAATCCTCACCTTGTTCCTCTCTCGTCTGTTTATAACCCTATCCTACACCCTTACAGCCTCCGTGCAGCCTGGCTCATCCCATCCCGCGCTGTCCGGCTTCTTCTGGAGGACTTGCAACACGCTTGGGCTCAATTGCCTTGTCGTTTTTGTCGCGGGTGACGCGAGGTCACGCCTGTGTTCTGCCCGGCGCTGCTGCAATCTGACCCCTGGCGGCTCGTCCAACTTGTCAGCTGTTTATACAGAGAGATAGATAAGTTCCGCGTGAAGTGGTGGATGAGCATCGCTCGATGTTTGGCGCAGGGTGTGTGGCGTGTGACTTGTGACGCGTCAGGCCACAAGCTGGCGTGTGACGCGCCGGTCTCACGTGCCTCTGTATATACATATACCGCTGGTCCGTGCCGCTCAGTGTTGGCCAGTGACCCGGAGCCCTCCTACTGCGCTCGCGGAGCAGCGGCTCATGAGCTGATGATGAGGCCAGTTGTGGCTTCTGCGCCGCAGCCGCACTGCTGCTGATACTGTGGGTCCGGTGGGCCCCCTGCCCCGGCCTGACTCACCTCGCGACATTGAGATACCGAAAGCTGCAGCTCACGCGTCATTTTCACGCGGCAGGACGTGGGTACTTTCAGGGGTGCAGTGTGCAAGATGTGTCAGCTCGTTTATCGGCAACTGTTCCGTGCTTACTGCTATATGTTTGGGGCCTGTTCGGGAGGTCGGAGAGATGTTCGTGTCGAACACAGCTGTACCATCGTTCATCAGGGGGGGGTCCGCGTGCGGGCAATCATTTCGTCGAGGCCAAAGTTGGCGTCTTATGCAAATCTGTCGCTACTATAGATATAAGTTATGTAGGTATTTTGCTACCTGTGCCTTCATTCCATGATAAGTCAAAGGACACTTGATTATTGACAAATTTTGGTACGAGCTGACAAAATGTTGCAAAAATATCCATTACTCAAGTCTCTTGTCTGTCATCGTTCATTCGCTTTTATCTTTCGCGCTTCTCTGACAGGGATGCAGACCGAGGCGGAAGGACAATCGAATATCGAATAGAGCAAGCTCAAATGATTCGCTTATCGAATTTGTTTCAGTCTGTTATCTGCTCTCCTCGTCACTTTTGTGTGGCGTCCTGTCACCTCGTTACTGACTCTCGGTCCCCCTCTTCTTGCAGCCTGTCCGGCGGGCACCTGGGGCCGCGGCTGCGCCAACGAGTGCGCCTGCATGAACGGCGCCGCGTGCGACCCGCTGACGGGCAGCTGCACGTGCGCGCCCGGCTGGCGCGGCGCCACGTGCCAGACGCCGTGCGCGCCGCACACGTACGGCCAGGGCTGCACGGAGCCGTGTCAGTGCGCCAACGGCGGCCGCTGCGACCCGGTGTCGGGCGCGTGCGACTGCCGCGCCGGCTGGACGGGCCCGCTGTGTCTGGACAAGTGTCCGCCGGGCACACATGGCGACGAATGCGCCAACCGGTGCCAGTGCCAGAACGGCGGCACCTGCGACCCCGAGAACGGCAGCTGCAGGTGCCAACCCGGCTGGGAGGTGAGTGCAGGCCCCGGGGCCCGCCGCGCGGCGGGTGACCAGGGGTCCGGCTGGGTCTCCCCGGCGGGCCTCCGAGCGCTCTGATGGGCTGCTTTGTGGCAGGATGTTATACGGAGCGGTGAGTACCCGTGGCAGTCTGTTCCCGGAGTTTTATGAGTGCTCGAGTCGGTCCGCCAATGTGAGCTGAGCGAGATAAGCCCATGAATTCCCCGGACAATACGAGGGAGGAAGCTGCTGTGGGTCCCGCCTCTGTGCAGACCACGCTCTGCATCATACCAGCTCCCCTCTGTGGCAGGCGTTTCCGAGCTGCATGGGTGGCTGTGGCCTGGTAGTGTTTGGTGCAAAGACGCACGCAACGGGAGAAGGATGGAAGGTGCCCCATGTTCATGAGGTCACTGCCGGGGTCATGTGGCCGATGTTGTTTCGACGTCATCGCTGCTCCCGACGGAAGCTGCCTGTCGGTCTGGAGACGGACACAGCCGGATACCATGGCGTCCGCAGCTCCGTCCGTGTTGTCCTCCGCAGCGAGACTGTACTATCGTCTCAGTTCCGGATCTGTGAGGCGCTGGGAGAGGCGCGGAGAGATATGACCCGTTCAGTCTCACTGTGTCCCCTATTCCTCGTCTCTTGCCAGACAGTCGCCTGGTGTTATACACACTCACTCCTGGCACATTATGGACACACCAATGGGAGCCATATAACTTTATGGTTACGGAGTTCCTCAAACCCCAACCGTCATCAACTTGGCACATCATTAGTGTATGAAGTGCAGCCACATCATTTCCCTCTCTCCGTAAACGTTACTTTATGACAGAGCAGTCCCCAGTCCCTTTGACGCTAGCAGAGCGTCAATAACTGAGGTGTCCTCTCGGCCCGTCTCACCCCGTGCTCTCCTTGTTGCTTCTCTTGTTCCCCCTTCGTCATATGTTTGGCAGCTGCGGCATGTTATGTTGTGCTGTCAATGCATTGCAGGTGTTTCCAGTATAAATACAAATACAAATACAGCTCTGCCGCTGACCGTTCAAGCCTCTGCAGTTTGTCAGGGGATGTCTGCGGTAACCTCTGCCCCTCTCTGTGTCGTCTGTCTGTTTGTGTGTCTGTCTTCTGCGGCTCGATGCCCCCATTGACTGTCCTCCATTCTGTGGTTGTTAGAAGGATGTGTGCGGTGACCGCTGTCTCTGTGTGTGTGTGTGTGTGTGTGTGTGTGTGTGTGTGTGTGTGTGTGTGTGTGTGTGTGTGTGTGTGTGTGTGTGTGTGTGTGTTTTGCCTGCCGCGGCTCTGTCACGTCCGTTCTGTCTCCGGCAGGGCGACGTGTGCGGTAACCGCTGTCCGCGCGGCACCTGGGGCCAGGACTGCAGTCGCCGCTGCTCCTGCTACAACTCGGCTACCTGCAATCACGTGACGGGCGTCTGCGAGTGTACCGCCGGCTACATCGGCACTCAGGTGGGCTACACCGCTCCACCTCTGGCGTGGAGTGCAGGACTGCTGACCAGTCATGTCGGTGGTCAGCGGGTCTGCAAAATCTGCTGACCGAACGCTGACAGCACGATTTAATCGTGTAAAATTACCGCAACCGTTGGTGTCGTTCGTGGTCAATGATTTGCAGAACTTTCCCGAAACTGTGCCGCGCGGCAGGATCATTGTAGCATACATTACAAACGAATATTGGATAATTGGTTTATGGGAGCATTTTAGAGAACGGTTCATTCCCGTGAAGCGATGTGTTGTACACATTCATCGCCTTATATACGAGCTGTCCCCTCTGTCCTCAGTGCCAGGACCAGTGTCCGCTGGGCACCTGGGGCGTCGACTGCGTCGGCAACTGCACCTGCGTGAACGGCGCCACCTGCAACATCGCCGACGGTAGCTGTCGGTGCGAGCTCGGCTGGAAGGGCACCAACTGCGAGCAGCGGGCCTGCGAGCCGGACCACTACGGACAGAACTGCCACGCCGTCTGCACGTGCGAGCCCAGCCAGACAGAGCTGTGAGTGCCCGCGCCTCGCCGGGGAGACGTGTGCGCTTCCTGTCGATTCGATATCCGAAATGAGTTTTATGTGGTATTCTGATTCGAAAAGGTATAAGTTTGCCTTCCTAGGAATTCAGAATATTCAGCCGCTCAGTACTTGGGACTTGGGTATATTTAAAAATGTATCCGTGGCGATGAGCGACTTGTGATGATCGTTCGTGTCCGCTAGCAGCACACTTGAAGCAACCTCGTCTTTGTTCACTCCCAAGACATTGTAGGAACGGAGAGAGCGAGTGGTGTCGTCTGCTCTCTCTCTCTTCTTGCACGTCACGCTGCGGGCTCCCTAGGGGGCCCGACGCGGGAGCACGTCGACGGGGGGTTCGGCGCGCCCCACTCCTCGGAGAAACTCCGTGATTTTATTGGCCGGCTCCTGGAAGATTTCACGGAGTGTTGGCGTGAAACCCCAGAGCCGGCCTCGGGTGCGGGAGTATGCGGGACACTCCGTTAGTAGGTGCTCGACGCTATCGGGCTCGGAGCAGGCAGGGCAGCGGTCGTCTTCCGCCAGCTCCAGCCGTAGCAGCGTATCCCGGGTGAGTGGCGAACATCCGGTACGCAGTTGGGAGACCGTGACCGACTCCCAGCGCGTCATCTCGTCTGCAGTTGGTGTCGTCTGCTCCTCACCCCACCCGTGTTTCCTTCAGATGTCACCCGTGGACGGGCGACTGTCAGTGCAAGCCCGGCTGGTCGGGCCGGCTGTGCGAGCGGCCGTGCCCGCCCTACCAGTACGGAGAGGACTGCCAGGGCATCTGCAACTGCAAGAACGGCGCCTTCTGCGACCAGTTCAATGGGACGTGCATCTGCAGCGCAGGTACTGAGGCACTCCGGTGGTAACGGGCTGACCCGGGCAGATTATACATATAGAACGGATGTCTCGGGCTTCGTTAGTAGCCTGCTATAATTGTACCAATTGTACCAATTGTACCAAGTTGTTACGTGAGTATTGATCCTGCTGACTGCTCTTCTCTCCTCAGGTTACATCGGTGAAGACTGCAGCACCCAGTGTCCTCCCGGCAAGTACGGCCGCGGCTGTCAGCTGACGTGCTCGTGCGCCAATAACGCCACGTGCAGCCACGAGGACGGCCGGTGCCAGTGCACGGCCGGGTGGCACGGTATCAGCTGCAGCGCCCCCTGCCCGGCCGGGAAGTACGGCCCCGGCTGCAACACCACCTGCCAGTGCGCGACCGGCGCCGCCTGCGACCCCGTTAATGGTGAGAGCCGAGAGGGGTGGAAGTTGGGCCGGTGGTGGGTCGATCGCTGGGGCACTTGATGGGAATGGAGGGTGGTCATGAGGCGCGATGTGTACGGAAGATAGACAGAACGGTGTTGACTGTTGAGTTCTGTAATGCGTTTGTTGGTTAAATGGTTCTGGTTGGAGTCTGCTCTGTTTCGAGTAGATGTGAATGCCTGCTTTAGGTTCTCAGTCGCTTTTTTTTAATTCGCTCTTTTATCCATTGCTGCCTCTTTCGATGTCACTCAATTCCCCTCACGGTACAGGGGTGTTCACTTGTTTGATCTTCAGCTTTTGAGAGCCCTTCACTTGCTGGAGAAGCGCTCGTAAACTTTCCAGTTGAAGGGCTCTTACAGCTAGCCAAGCACCGGTACCCTGTCACCCGATCACCGCTCGTGCTATTGACGCGTCCAATGACCCGCTCTCCCTCTCACATCCACCAGGAACATGTACGTGCGCTGCTGGCTACAAGGGCGAACTGTGCGACCAGAGGTGTGACGAGTTTACCGCCGGTCTCGGCTGCAAGCTGCGCTGTCCATGCGTCAAAGAGAACAGCGAGGGCTGCGACCCGGTCAACGGTCGCTGCATCTGCAACCCCGGCTGGCGGGGTGAGACATTGGACATCGGGCGCGTGCCAAACGGGGTGCAAGTAGTGGGGTGGATTACCAGGAAGTTTGGGGAAATTAGGAAATATTGATTAGGTCAAGCTGCTGTAAGAAGGAGCGAGTGACACTGCGTCATTATTAAACGAATTTCATAGAAATACAGCAAGTTCTTATTCGTGATAGTTGTGTGTAAAACTGGCAATGCTCTGTCTCGTCTCTATCTGATCTCCCTCGCCTGACCTGACCCGTCCTCTTCTCTGCCAGGCGTGCGCTGTGAGACTCAGTGTCAGGAAGGCCGCTACGGGCCAGAGTGTAAGGACGTGTGCCACTGCAAGAACAACTCGTCCTGTGACCCCAAGTCGGGCGCGTGCACGTGTGCTCCGGGCTTCCGCGGCACGGACTGCAACGAGCCCTGCCCGGACGGCCGGTTCGGCCTGGCCTGCCTGCAGACCTGCCCCGACTGCGCCCACGGTGAGTGACGGGGAAGGGCGCAGTGTATTCCTATAGACGAGCCCCGACTGCGCCCACGGTGAGTGTCGGGGAGACGTCAGCGCTATGACCCCCTATAAACCTGCACCGATTGCGCTCAAGGCAAGTAAGAGGGAGGGGAGCGCTTTGTACCCGTATAAACCTGCCCCGGATGCGCCCATGGTAAGTGACAGTGAAGAGTAAGTGCTGTGTACCCCTACAGGCCCGTCCCGACTGGACCCACGGGGAAGGGGAGGTACACTCGGGGGCAGATTGATGTTCTACAACTCTTTTTCCACCGGGTTCCTATGGCTCAGCATTGGCAGCAGCCGCCTGGTACCGGTAGACTGTGCCGCTTCACTTACTTGTCAAGCGGCACAGCCTACCCACACCGTATGACACCGGTCTGGGTCGGTGGCTGAAAGGCGGGTGGGCCGCCTGTGACGTCAGCGCAGCGGTGAGGGCCGAGCCCGGAGGCATGGCTCGGGTCGGCGCGGCGCGGCGGCTGGCGAAAGCTGGGGAGTGAGGCGGGGTGGGAGGGTGGGAGCATGGTCCATCGCGCGGCTGAGCAAGTGTACCTAGTTACCTACCTTTCGCGTCTCAAGGCGGTAATTATTCTGCCTAACAATTGCGCTAAAGCAGTTGTTAAAATATCCTATGCCCAAGACATCGCCTATCATCATACTTGCCATGAGCATTACGACACACTTTAACGTGGCATTGGGACAGCCGATAGAATTTATATCACACGTGCATCAAGTTGCGGAGCTGCATTGTTTATAACAGATAAGTATACTACACCTTTTTGCATTTGAATTCAACCATTCGCCATAACTGTTTGAGGAGCCATTTCGACAATCGGCATTGAGCACAACTATTCCGGCGTGGTGTGTTTCATTTCAGCCATTCAGCAAAACAGATTGAACACTGAAATGAGCGATCCGCAAAACAGTTTAACACTTCGCCAGAATTCGGCATTGAGCGAGCTCGCTCGGCATATGACGAATAGTTTCGACCATTGACGATTTGTTTTGCACAATGTTGAACCATTTGTCCAATGTCGAGTTATACGGGAAGATCGCCGAATAGTTTTGCACAATGGTGATTCTTTGTGACCAACCGACCATTTGTAGCGCCACCTATATGGCGAATGTGTACAAATGTTTTGCCCAATGGTCAAAGGCTAACGCAAAAAGGTGTATTAAGGCCTTGATTGAGCTCACTGGTGTCTATTATTTCGCACAGCAATCGTCCAGAGACGTGGGAACTGCGGTTTTTGGATAGCACGGCAGCCAACGTCCCAACTTCAAGCAAATGTTACTGTTCCTCTAATATGTGATCGCAGCCACCAATAGCAAACCGTTCCAACTAGGAGCAAATAAGTCGCGCACCTGGGAAGGTTCGAACCGGGCTTCTCCAACCTAGTTCCCACGTCTCTAGACGATTGCCGTGCGAAACAATAGACACCAATCTGCTCAATCAAGGCCTTAATACTAACATGTTATACAAAATATAGCTCCGCACCTCGATGCACGTGTGACATAAGTTATATCGGCTGTCCCATTGCCACGCTTAAGTGCTTCGTAATACGCATAGCAAGTAAATGGCTCTGTCTTGGGCATAGGACATTTTAACAAATGCTTCAGCGCAATTGATAGGTAGAATAATTGGCAAATGGAGACGCGAAAGTTAACTACGCTCGCCCAGCCGCGCGATGGCCCATGCTTCCACCCCGCCTCACTCCCCAGCCCTCGCCAGCCGCCGCGCTGCGCCGCCCAGAGCCATGCCTCCGGGCTCGGCCCTCACCGCTACGCTGACGTCACAGGCGGCCCACATCGCCTTCCAGCCACCGACCCAGACCGGTGTCATACGGTGTGGGTAGGCTGTGCCGCTTGACAAGTAAGTGAAGCGGCACAGTCTACCGGTACCAGGCGGCTGCTGCCAATGCTGAGCCATAGGAACCCGGTGGATAAAGAGTTGTAGAACATCAATCTGCCCCCGAGTGTACACCAGTCGACGATGGCCCATCGGTGAGAATATGCTGCGCTCCAGCGAAGTTTTAGCGGGGATTAGAAATCGAGAGATACTCTACACATTGTTCAATGTTTTGACATTGGGTCGAAGCGGGCTTCTAACCATTCGCTAACGGTAACTGACTGTATAATACGATGTGCTGGGTACCCGGCTGGGCTTCGCATCAAGGGTGGTGCGTTGGTGGTGACGGTGCCAACGAAAATGTGTGCTTGTTGGGAACAGTGTCGTGTCTTCGTGTGACTGTTTGTCAACCACGTTAGCGAAACTGAATGATGTAGCTAAAGTACAGCCCTCAGCAGTCTGCGTGGTAGGTATTCTTTTTTTTCGACAAAACTGATAATAGCTCAAAGGCTATGCTATCATTTGGTCGGAACTCACTACAAATAAATGCGCCATGTTCCACTCCTTCGATTGGGTCTATCATTAAACAAATGATGCGCCTTGTGTGGCAACAAAATGCAAAAGTTTGTTTTGAGGGCAAATATAAACTTTTGGGTTTTGTTGCCCATGGATGGAAAATGAATACGATGATAATGCCAATCTAAGGTGCGGAGTCTCGCGTGTCTTGCTGTTACGATTTCTGAGCGACCGATAGCAGAGTATTCGCGCTATTCTCGGTTTTGTCGAAAAAATAATACCTACCACGCAGTTTGCAGAGGGCTGTACAAACTAAAGATAAGCAATGTTCCGTAAACCCGTTAAATATTCACTTATCATTCCTATTGCTTGGTAACGTGTTGGTGGCTGACGGATGGTCTCGTTCTTTTTCATGTGGCAGCTGTAATTGGTAAGTAGTTAGTTGTAACCCCTGCCGCTGCCCCCTCCCCGTGACATGTAACTCCCCAGCTTTGACTGTGCTGCCGCGTCACTCGGATACTTGCAGGCGACACTGACACCTCTCATCTGCTCAACATCACAGACGGACCGCTCGGTAGTGCATGGTGCTGCTGAGTGCATTACTCAGCAGATAAACGGTGGTGATGCATCAGCTAATCTGTCGCAAGGTCGAGCTTTGTCCCCGGTTTAAGTGGTAGTTTATATCATGCCATGCGCCATGAGTGTTGCGGTCTTTGTTCTCTTTTTCTCGGTTGGGGGCTATCTGGCTCGCTAGCTATGTTGGTAGTTTTTGTCCGGTATGTTTAGTTTTTAGTGTTTGGTTCTGCTTCGGTTGGTCTTGTTTGATTCTCGTATATCCCCACATTACTATAAAGTGGTGCTTGGAGATTTTTAGAGAGGCGCTCGCTCATCGCTGTTCCCAGCAGAACGCCAATAATTTAGAAATTTGACGGTGATTGGTTGTACTTTTTACGTTGTCTGTACTTTTTTCCTCTTTACTTCATTTAACTCTTTCTTTTGACCGTGACAGCGTGACTACATCGATGGTTATTGTTTTGGTTGCTGCTTGATGGAGCTTGTGGCTTTCCTAGTCCTGTGGACGGGCTTTGACAGCTGGTCCTGGGTCGTCTCTGTGGATCTGTTTGGTTTGATTGATCATTGAGCATTATTCTTCGGGTATGCCCGACTTTCGTATCTAACTAGCTATTCCACTATCGTTACCTTACGAGTGCTCTACAGTAAATGTTACTGCTTAGAAAGTCATAAAGTCGGGGCAAATTTACGACAGTTTAATGAGATGAACTGGAGACATCTTTCTGTCGTAGTCGGATGGAGCATGGCTGCAACCCGTGTTGAATTGTTTATGATGTTGAGTAGAATTGAATGTCATTTCACGCGCAAATCTGTTCTTTCTTCTGACTCTGCCGATCTTCTAGTTCGATCAGGCCCCCGACAAAGTCGCAACTTCTGACTTCCACCGTCACGACATCTTACACGAGCTCTCCTCACATGACGTGACGTTTGTGACACGCCGTGTGCCCTGCCACAGGTAACGGCACCTGTGACCACGTGACCGGCCAGTGCCCGTGCGCGCCCGGCTACGCTGGGGCCCTCTGCTCGGAGGCATGTCCCAAGAACACGTACGGCCTCATGTGTCGCAAGACGTGCGACTGCGCCGAGCACGGAGAGTGTAACGCCGTCACAGGTCGGTCTGGGGTCGGAGAGTGTAACGCCGTCACAGGTCGGTCCGGTGTCCGACTGGGAGATCCGTTTACATCACGGGGTCGGTGTCAGTCATGTGGTTAATTTTAATCGGAACATTCTGTTTTGATACCTGGATAAACTTTCCAATATAAACCAAACTATTGAGTTGTAATTGAAGAACAGGAGTTGAATAGGCCAAATATTACCCTAAGTATTTGAAATCATCAGTTGATATGCCTATTTTTCTGGCAAATCATGCCTTAGTGTAATGAAACGTCAGATGTGATTTCTACATCTGTTTTTCCATCTTCCCGCAGGAGAATGTCTGTGCTACCCGGGGTGGACGGGCGAGCGTTGCAGCGAGCATTGTCCAGCCAACACGTACGGCATGAACTGCGCTCAGACGTGCGACTGTCTGAACGGCGCCACGTGCCGGCCGCTCGATGGAGCCTGCGGGTACGTGCCACGTGCCACGTGTTGACCGTATGCTACGTCCAACAGACTGGGCAGATTAATCAGTAGATGATTGTATCACCTCTGCCAGCAGACATCAAAACTTACAACTACTCGTATTGTAACGAACACGAAACCAACTCTTTTCGACTTATCGTCATTTCCCCTAACGACGACACTACTCGACGCCCTCAGGTGTCCGCTGGGCTGGACCGGGAATCGCTGTGAGGAAATCTGCCCCGAGGGCTATTACGGCAACCAGTGTATGAACTCCTGCAACTGCAAGTCCAACAACTTCATGTGCCACCCGGCCGAGGGCTGCATCTGCAGATACGGACATACCGGTGAGGACGGAGGAGGGGTCATATTTCTATGAAAAGCTCATGTCCAAATACTTTTTCGGAGGTTTAAAAGCCTGTTGAGTTGGGTAGTTGTAAGTTCTGTTGATCAATGATTCTCATATTTGTTTATTGCTGTTTCCATAACCTTGTATCGCAGACCCCGTGGTTTAACCTAACCTGACCCATCTAACGCTCGCCTCTGTTTCCCTCCAGGTGAGAACTGCGATATCCCGATCCGGGCCAGCCTGACCGAGTCGGCGCGCGAGGGTCCCGGCTCGGCCGGCGTCACGGCCATAGTGGTGTCGGTGCTGCTGCTGGTGGTGGTCGTGGTGGTGCTGGTGATTGTCTACTACCGGCGCCGGCTCTACCGACTCAAGAAGGAGCTGCACCAGGTGGTGCAGTACTTCCCCGAGGCCAAGGAGCGCACAGGTGAGAGAGCGGGTCGCAGTGGAGGAGGGAGGGGATGGATCAGACATAGGGCATAGGTCTGGAATCGTCTACATGGGGTTTGTGAAATGAGGCGATTGCTACCTCGTTGATGGCTTTGTGCTGACTTTGGCAGCTTTCAGCTGTTAATGTCCTGTGTAGCAGAAGCAGCTGCATCGCTAGTCTACTAAATTTTGGTAGGAAACCTACGTCGCAAGCAGTCGCGATGAAAGTAAATTTCACGATACGATAGCACCTTTTGCGTACTAACTATGTACTACATATTGTTGACCGCTTCTCGTCAGCCTACTTCCGTCTCCGTTGTTAGCAACACATCCTCTGTCAGTTTTTGACACACCCTCCTGCCTCTCCGTCAGACCCACACCACTTCGACAACCCTGTGTACGCGTACCCGGAGAAGGCGCGTCAGGACCCGCTGCCGCTGCCGCCCAACATCCCCGTGCAGAAGAACGACCTGGGCGGCGCCACCAATGTCAAACAGCTGGCTCTGGATGAGGAGGAGGGTGAGTCTGGGGGGAGGTGGGGGGGAGGGGTTCCTGGTGACCCCGAGAGGTGCGAGGGTCGCAGGGGTCTTCTTGAAAGGACAGAGAGTAGTGTGTGTAGAATGTGCCGGTTGGTGTTATTGATGTCTGATGGATGTATACTACAGACATGTCTTTTTTGTAGATTATAATCGTCTCGCTTATATATTTGCACTAGCCGTTAACTTTTTTGTGTGTTTTGTATTTCTCAGCATTTCTTGTCCAATACTGAGCCAGATCATATGAATGGGTTCTCCCTTTTGATAGGGACTTGTGGGTTCTTTTACAGCGCTTTTACCCAGAGGTAGACGGTATAGGTGGCACTACCAACCCGCCGGTAAATGTTCACAGTGACTTTATACAGTATATGTCACTTAGCTTTGTGATCTTCCTAGAGCACATGCACCCCGGCCCTTTTCAAGTCGTTTATGCTCTATTACAGTGATCTTATGTATTTTATTTTTTCATGTGTATTCAGAGTTTATTGAGGCTTTTTGTGACTACATTCTTTCCATCACAGATATCATACAGTTTTTGTGTTCTATCCTGTGTTTTATGTGTTCTATGCTGTTTTTGTGATGGCTGTTAAATGTGCGTGGAAGATAAGTAGTGGCCTCCAATGTCGCTTTTTGTGTCACAAGGGGAGCAGTTGCTTCTTGGCTTTTCGTGCTGCTTGTTGTCCTATATTTTCTTGGTAAAGAGCTATCGAAATAAGCTACGAAGGCCAACTTTGCTTGTCACTCGGCACATTGTGAGCCTATTGTACATACAGGATAGCAACTGTGTTTCTGAGTATTTGCGAATATTTTTGTTTATTGTTGCCCAGTTTTTTGACGATACCGTCAAAAAGGCACGATGCTCCGCATTGCCGGCTTTCTTGGTCATAGTTGTGATGCAGCTTTGTGTGCTTTGTGTGTTCCGTGGTCATTCGCCCACATTATGGATAAATAAATGTATGTTGATAGAGACAAGTAGAAAAACACGGAACAAATAGTGCATGGACGCGTTTCGATTATTAAATCTTCATCAGCATGACATAATCACAGAGAAAACAAGATATATCTTAAGATATAAGATATATGACAGTGGTCGGCAGGTCCTCAGGGACCGTGCCCCCTTTTCGGGCGCCAGGCAGAGCCATTACCCCCATCTACCAGACCGCATTGCATACTCAACCAAGTTTACTCAAATGCCATAACTATCCGTGACACTTGGGACATTTCGGTTATTATGATGTAAAAAGCGTCGGATCACGACAAAATTTTACCCTCAAACCGATCTTTTTTTATTTGCCATAAAACATTTCATATAATGACACAAATACCTAACCGTTGACTTGTTAGTTGTTTCTTGAGATCATGGTAGGTCATAAAATCTCAATTCTAGAAGTTACAGCAGGTCCCGATCTTCTCCACAATTGTCATTGACCTCTTGAAAGTCTTAAGTCACCCAATGGCCAAGGAGATTAAACCTCGCCCGTATTGGGGTTTGCCAGCGGCGAACGTATAAGGGGGGGGGGGGGAATCGTTGGACCCCCATTGCCGTTTGGCCCCTGATCAAGCTAGAGCTTCGCGGAAAAAACGAGCGTGCTGCCAGTGACGAGAGGAAGCCGATGTTACCCAATTTTAAGGTCCTAGATCATTGGTTGACCTTCCAGGTCAGGTCAACGACCTAAAAAGTCTGGAAAATCGAGACCTATCAGAACTTCGTAAAGTGAGGCTGTTGTGTTTTTTTTCGGGGTACTGATCACCAATCTTATCTAAGTTTTGATCACAGATGATGTATTCGTGCATTTAGGCCAGGTCGGGTGACGTCGGGTTAGGTCAGGTCAACTAATAGGCGTCTTACCGGGTATTTGCAGTAGGCATCAACCACCACTGAGAGCTTCGTAACATGTTACGAAGGCACCAAAATTACTTCGTAAATGTTTAAATGGTAGCAAAATTCGAAATCAGCTCCAATGTATAACATTGATCAACTCATACTTAAAATTTCGCCGTGATCGGTCGCTTTTTGCGCGAGTTGTTCGTAAAAAAGAAACGAGGAAAAGTGCGAATATAATCTCCCTATAAGTGCGAAGGTTAAAATTGGGTGGCAGCTAGTTCCTATCGTCACGGGTAGCACGCTCGCTTTTCTGCCGCAAAGTTCCAGTTCAGATGCCGAGAGGCTGGGTTCCAATCGGCCCATCCCCGTTTACGTTAGCTGCTATGAAAACGCCAATAGAAGGGCAACGGTTAGCGTTCGACCTAGCTAGACTTATCTTTGAACCCTGGGATCAAACAGCCGTGATGTCTGTCCCATCAAGGGAGCCATTAATTCTAAGATAAGATTAGGCTTTCTTAGATGCCCCATTACCCCCCGCCGAGGGGCTCCATTACCCCCAAAGGGGGCATGCCCCACCATTTGCCGACCCCTGATATATGAGGTATATCTTGTCTTCTCTGTGATTATGTCATGCTGATGAAGATTTAATAATCGAAACGCGTCCATGCACTATTTGTTCCGTGTTTTTTATTACGGATGAACTCGGAGCTTGGATATAGGAAGATGTATTTAGGCTATTAATCTTTAGGTTTCCCATCAGATGTGTCAATTTTCTGCCTGTCAGTACCGGCCAAAACTTTTTTTACGCAATGTTAGTACGAATACTTCCTGAATGTTCTTATCCTAACGAACGCTGCATCTTATCACGGTTGCTGCTAACAGACCAATTTTCTGACGGCCTAGGTGGAGCTGTCGGCTATGACTCGAGCCTACTGTCCAAGAAGCTGAAGGACGCAGACTGCGGCAACCCCAACATCTACAACAGCATCGAGGATCTGAAGGCGGACAACAAGAACAACATGGAGCACGTCTACGACGAAATAAAGGGCATCAAGGTTCTCAAAGAGGAAGGTGGGTCCGCGGTACCGGCAGTGCCACTGTAAACTGCATGCGCCACTGGCGGTCGTTTTGCACGGGCCAGATGCGTCCTCTGATATGACGAGTCCCACGGGTGTGCGGATCTCCTACTGGCATGGTGCGTGGAGGCCTAGAACCCAGCGCTCACGCAGACCCTTACTGAGCTGTCGCCCGTGGCTGCAGGACGAGTAACTGCATGACTGTGCTCGCTATTGGCAGCGCTGCTCTATCAGCTGCTGTGTTCACTAATGACAGACCCGTTTTAGCTGCTGTGTTCACTAACTACCAGACTGGTGGTTGGGAGTGCTGGCATGGTGAACCGCTCCGTCTTCCTCTGTCCTTACTCCGTTGCGCAGAGCGTCCGTGACCGTGTGGTCGGACCGAACTGAGACGATGGAACTCGTGTGCCTGACAGTTGAACATTTATGATGGTCAATGTGCGTCGCCTTGCTGTTTGCGATGTGTATTTTAAGGAAGTTACACCGTTGCATTCGTTAACAATACGTTTTATGAAAACAAATTACTCAAAACCCAAGAAACACGCTAGAAAAATCTTCAGAAGGTAGCTGTTTTTTTATTTCTCGAGTACAAAGTTCCATCGTTTCTCCGGTCGCCACCACGACGCTTCTTCTTAATCTGCCTACTAGCCGCGACGTCCCCGATGGTGACCGATCGAGACGGGACAGACTCGGGGCGGATCATCTCCCTGTCTAACGGGACAGTCAGCACGTGACGGACCGCGCCGGTACGGGGACGGGACGGTAACAAAGGCGGACGAGATAACGTGCCTGGGGAGACTGACAATGACAGAGACTGAGGACCGTTCTGCGACGGGAGAACTTTTGTGGACCGTGGAAAGGCTTAACACTAGGATAGGTTAGCTAGTTTTGATGTGAGCGAATTAAATTTTACTATTTAGGCAATCACTCGCTTAGTCTCGCAAAAAACTTCGCTCGAAACCTGCCCCAAAACAGGTACAAGACAAAATATTGTTTCATGAATCCGATAGCAAAAAGGTAAGCCAAATCAATACCAGGGGACAATAAGTGCTTATTGAGTTACAGACATCCATAGATGTTGTTCAAAGAGCACTATTTTCATCAACAGCCTGAGTGCTTCGTGAGAAGGTTAGAGATCAACTATCAAGAGTGCATTTACACTGTTCTGCAGACGAGTGAGTCATTTCTTTTGAAATCGATTTCAGTTGCCTACCAACAGTAACAATGAGACAGCTCAGCGATGTCGAGTACCAACCAAGGAGCTGTTGAGGCGATTGCTGTCGATAAGGTTGGAAGCTACGGTGTTATTGCAGATAGCGTCTAAAACGGTCCTTCCCTAACGGCCCACAGCGTTCTATCGGGACTTGTGGGCCTATCGGACAGACACTGTTCGGTCTGTCTGGCATGGCCCGGAATTGAGGCCAACAATAACATAAGGCGTGCATCTTACTGTCGGCCCTGTCTGCCGCCCGTGCCTGGCACATTTGGCGCCTCTCACGTAACGGTATGTAGAGGAGAGATCTCGGCCAACTATTTTGGCCTCATCGTGATTGAGACGTTCGGCTGCTTCCACCTCCGCCTGTACCAGGTTCATAGGATACCACCTTACGGATATCAGACGAGGAAGCGGGGGCAAAGTGGTCGAATCGATTGCTGAGAGAAACTCGTACCGGCTGCACTTTGAGATAAATCGCTTTCGTTCCGCCTACGGACGGCTTGTTTTAATACGATCGATAAGGGTTCATTTATATTAGCCTTCTTTAGAATGGTGTCATGTTTGCTGACGCTGAATTGCTTTAACCTGGATGAGTTTTGTATTGCATGCCGATGAACAAATAGGTCAAGTGAAAGCAGGACATCATTAATTAAGTATTTTACTAGCAGCTCAAAACGACAAAATAACTATAATACCCACGACTCGAGACTGTTTCCCGCTCTGCGCAGGGTGCACGTCCTGGTACGGGGACGAATGACGGCCTGACCCCTGCTCACATAAGCTCAATTAACGGGCTATACGAGCCACTAAAATCACTCACCATCAGTTAGATGTGTTTCATTGTCTTTTTCGTCATCAGGCCATCGGTGAAATGATGAGCTGTCATTGTGCTTGGGCAGGTTTTGTAAAATGTCCTGAAGTGGTATCACTGTGCGCGATTAATTACGTTCGTCTCCGCGAGGAATGTAGCACATTACCTTCCTTTGGGGCCTCTCATTAGCGTCATGTTTACGTTATTGGTAATTCAAGAGGTTTTATTGTTTACTTCCATCTCGGTCTGTCTCCATCTGGTGGCAGGCACCATCCATTGATGTCTTGTGAGTCGGTGTGACGCAGATTAGGATTGGATGTCAGAAATTCATTGCAACCTCTTTAGTAACTACAAATTGTTCAATAAGTGCACCAGTTTTCGGAAATGAGGCTCAGGCCAGCACAATGCGCTTTCTGACAACCTATAGCAGGTAATTGGCGCAAATAATATCGTCAACTTTTTTTGGTCGTTACCACGATCTTCAAATTCCAATCAATTCCTCCATCAGTTGATGCCATGCTGCTCCTTCCTGATGGTTTTCTTCTCTTTACTATGTGTGCCGTGATACATCTGCCCTGTCGATCCTGTCCCGTGTGGCGTGACATTTCAAACTTTGCAGTGGGCGGGTCACCATGTCCGTCCTGTCCCCGTCCCATCCTGCTCCCTGTCCCATCACCTGGTGGTGGTGGGAGCACACAGTCCGGGCATCTCTAACCAGTGTGGGCCAGCGACAGCCCCTCGCCCGCCGCCACCGCCGCTACCGCCGCCTCGACGGCGCTGTTCATGCTCTAGTTCGGAATTCAGATGCAGTAATGCCACTGAATCTCAATATTTACCTACACAGTATACACTGAGCTGCTGTAGGAGGGCACGCCCGAGAACGAAATAGGTATATCGTTGATTTTTCGTTATTACTTTGGCAGTTCACGGTATAAGGTAAAGGAAGTCTCGGAAAAAATATCGACTCCCCCTATAAGTATGAGGAATAAAGTCCTAAGCGTTTAAATGGTTTTCTTCACTGTGGTTCTGTTGTGGTTCAAAATGCATCTCTGCCGGCCAAGACGGTAAACATTCATGACAGATCGGTGTTACCGACGCGATATTTATCCTCTGTACCCCTGCGGTATGTGACGGCGGTATGTGGCAGCGGTGGCGGGGAGGGCCGCTGGCGGTGCGGTATCGGGTCTGGTGCTGGGTCCAGTGCTGGGTCCAGTGCTGGGTCCGGTGCTGGGTCCGGTGCTGGACCCGGTCACCCGGTGCTGGGTCCGGTGCTGGGTCTGGTGCCGGGTCCAGTGCTGGGTCCGGTGCTGGGTCGGGTGCTGGACCCGGTCACCCGGTGCTGGGTCCGGTGCTGGGTCCGGTGCTGGGTCCAGTGCTGGGTCCGGTGCTGGGTCCGGTGCCGGGTCCGTTGCCGGGTCCGGTCACACCCCAGCTCAGAGGTCGGAGGTGAGAGCGGCGCGGCGCCTGTCTGTCCACGCAGGTGCGGGCAGTCCGCTGCTGGCCGCCGCCCGTCGGCGCTCCTCCGACCAGCTGGATGTGCAGTGGAGCTTCTCCGGGCAGGAGGGGAAGGCCGCCGGCCTCAGCCCAGGTAGGTGCGGCTCCCGTGGCGGACGCCGTCCGTCGGCGGTGCGTGGTAGCACTGCTGTCGCCTCCCGACCGCCACGCAGCGGTGCACCGGCCCACAGCACCGCTAATTGATGCACGACACCCCGCTCGCCCTGTGGCTTTTGCAATTTCGATCTTACGTCTGATCTGTTGTAAATAGTTAATTTTGTGTTATAGTGTGCATTTGTGACTAATACCTGCCGTTTTTGCAGTTTTCTAGTTAGTCTAGTGATGTGTTCAAAGATGTAAATCTATATTCTTTTAATGCCTAATTTCAATCCTGTGTAAAGTGTCGTGTTAACCACTGTGTTCGTAAATTCCCGGTTCGGGTCGGGTCCTGATGCCAAGGTCCTCCATCGTGCCTGACTCTGCCTCGCCCTCTCCCTCTCCCTCTCCCACAGACGGCGAGTACGACCGCCTGGACCACGCGCGGGCCACCAACGACCCCAAGCCCAACTACACCAAGATGGACGGCACGCTGCGCAAGTCCAAGTCGAAGATCACGGACAGTGACGAGGACAATGAGTCGACCGGCGGCTCGTAGCCACCGGCGCGGGCCTCGCTCGGTCCGCTCACAGACTCAGCACTTGGCATGTGGAGAGCAATAGACAGGTGCACCCCATGCCATCCGGAAGGAGTGCGGGGTCGTCAATAAGACTTGCCGGCAAGCGGTCGAAAGGTGGATCCTTGAGTGTTGCTGGCGGACCGTTTTGTGCTCAAAGACCATAAGAAGCATCGTCGTTGATGAACCTTTCGCACTGGTGAGGTTCTCGTGCTTTCTGAGCTTAGTGCAGTGACGTTCTGTGGACACATTTTAGCGGCGGTAGGGCTCGGCTCTGCACATATTGCTGCACGAGACGGTGATGAGCTGGGACAGAAATGCGAGAATAGTGCGTTGAACTCTTGGTGTCTAGTTAGTGGAACATGGAACATGGAACATATGCAGTTGTACGATCGATTGGATGCGTCTCAAGATAAGCGGAGTTCTCAAATGAGTAAATGAATTCATGTTTGGTTCAGCTGATTTTTTTTCAGCCCGGTGACCGCTATTTACTGGCTTTTCAATGAGGGTCTCAATATTTACACGAGGCCTTTTTATGCGTGGAACACTTTGTTGCTATTTCCACTCTTTTTATATTTTCATTGCAATCTGCTGTTATACAAAGCAGGTAGTTGACACGCGCTACCACCCGAGTACACAACCTGTCACAACATCTAGGTAGTCCTTTCGTTTACATGAGCATTAGTTGAAAGCGCAAGTCATATTTTCGGTTGGTATACCTACCTATAACAGGGGAAGAAATTCCCTTGTCCCCATATGCTGTAGTTCGTTGCGCATCTGGATATGTTCGATTGAACACTTGGCCGGTATGTTCCCGCTGTCGCCGGGTGCTCTGTGCTGGCGCCGACGGAGACCAGGGCTCACCGACTATGCCGCCTGCCCTCTGTGATATGTGTCGCCATTGTTACCGTTTGTATGCGTGTGTGTCTGTGTGCTGCCCGAGGGCATCAGTGTGACAGGTCCATATCATGTAGCCGGGCTCCGCGCCATCGGAGCCGGCCCATCACCATCGCTATGCAACTTATATATGCGAACTGTGTGCTGGGTTTGTTGGGGGTTCTTTGGTTCTGGGGTTTGGGAAAGGTAGTGTGCAAATGTGAGTGACTTGTGTCGATATCTGCGAGAGGTTCCTCGCTAAGATGTCCATTCTGACGTGGACTTTGCTGTGTCTTTGCGATGCTGATATGTGGGGTCATGTGAATTGTGTAGAATTGCTTGAGATTGTGAACGAGGTGTCCTGGTGTCTGCTGTATATGAATATCCATCGTATAAAATGTGTTTAAACTCCCTCGGAAACTTGCCAATCGGTGTACTGCTAAATTCCCCCCTCCCATCGGCTTCCTGAAGTAAAACAGCTAAATTTCGGCTGTCGCAAACCACAGTGGGCTAAGGTATTCCCTGTCGAAGTCTTATTTGCTACCAAAAAGGTGTAATTTGTTTCCCTTCAATCGTTTAAAATTCTTAACATGATGCAAGTACCTAAACTAGATGTCTACCATGAAACATCTAAAATGTAATATCATAGACCTCTGTACACCATAGATACCATAATATCATAGACCTCTGTGGTGTACAGAGGTCTATGGTAATATGTAAAATTATCGTAGGCATGAGCGTGATTATAACGCTGGGAGAAACCAGCCAGTCTCAGATCTAGGGATCGGGCATCTTAAGCCTTTGTGTGTAGTCGTTACCAGGAATTGATTTTTTAAGTTTTTCTTGAAAATTTATTCGTGACTACAAGCGATATGCTTTTGATTTGTTCCGTCATATACTATTTGCATTTTTTTTTTGCAAAAATGCTTACCAACTAAGTCGTAAAAACATGCTTCATTGCGCATTCGTTATCTTCGTGTCCAATTCGTAGCAAATCAGCAGTCCCGCTACTCATTTCAAAGTTACCTCCTGACTCGGATGGACTCCAAAATCCCATTTAGTGTTGTATGCCGGCTGTTATTAGTCGTTAAGGTAATGTACGATTGTGATTCACGTTGACTTATTCAATAGGGCAACACAGTATGTTTACGATAACTGTAATCAACTTGCATGTTGTTTGTTTATCGAGTTTTCACCCGCCATTCTTTTGTATGAAAGAACGGATATGCAATTTGTATGCACAAAAACAGGGATAGATTGTGTAATTTTGCATTCCTGTTCACAACTATAGATAGTGTATTATTGTGTAAATATATCTGTTTTGCAACAGTGTTTTTTGCTCTTTGGGATTGCTATTCAACATGTGCACCCCGGAGACTTATAGCTTCAGCAACAAATGACAAATATCTATTAGAACCATAAAGCCTTAACAAGGCCCGCTATATCTAGCATTTACCAGGCCATAGCCATTGACCCTTAGGTATAGTCACAGTCAAGCATGAAACAACGGAGATGCGCGGTCATCCTCGATTGCGGGGGAATGGCGATAATAGATGGCCTTGGGCGATAAGGGCCTCGTCGTTAAGTTGTACTTAAGTTGTGCTGAACTTTTTAAGTACACTTTAACAAGCAAAAAGTATATCATTCGACGTGTCTTGACGTGCTGAGTTCACTGGTGCTTTTGTTTTTGCTCTGTTAACCCGCGCCCCACTGGGGGGGGGGGCTATTTATAGCCCCCCTCCCGTTTTTCTGCAATAACTTCCAAAGCGCTTGACGTATCGACGCCAAACTTTCAGTACCTTAGGCTGCATCAATTTGACACCTTGTGTCAAAATTTGAACTTCGTATATACTATAGGTCGGCCGGAAATGACGTCAGAGTGACGTCATGTTCGGCCGATTTCGACGCAAAACATTGAACCACGGCAATCGCTCCCAAGAGCTCAGTTTTTAAGCTAGATCCAATTTATTTGCATGAGAGGACTCAGAATAGACTGCGCTATCAAACTGCTATCTCGGATTTTCGAAATTTTGAAAATTTGGAAAATTTGATAAAATAAAATCCAAAAATTATATTTTTACATTTTTCCAAAAAGTTTTTGACTTTTCGAAAAAACCGGAATATATGTGATAGAACGTATTATCATGACTAACTCTAGCAAGTTTTAGCTAAATATCTTCAAAAATGGCCAAGTTTTACGCATTATTGCAAAAAATTCACAATTATTAATTTTTCAAATCAATTTTTCAGCACGTATTTGACATCGTACGCCAATATAGATAGCACCATCGTGTTCCTGAGCTCAAACTGCATCCAATAGACACCTTTTTTGTTGAAAAATTTCAACTTCAAAATTTGACCTTTTTTGACCTGAAAGTGACCTGACCTAAGCTAAATTCGACTCAAAATGACCTCCAATGGCACAGACGACATCAAATTCGAAATCCCAGACCTAAATGGACCATAAAACATGTGTCACGTGACCGACTCATGATATAATATTTTCGTGACCTGTGATGACCTGACCTTGACCTGAAAATCAAAGTACAAGTTTGGTACCCTCAGGGTATCTAGAGCATCTGTTCACGAGTGTGTGATCCAAAAATGAGCCTGATCTGACTTGTAATACGGCGGCCAGAGCCCAAAACGTGAACAAGCCAAAATGCTAATAGTTTTTACTTTGACCTGACCTGTGACGTCATCGGTGACCTCGAGGTCAATGAAATTAGGTTTCGCTCTACAGTTTTTCCGGGGCTATCAGACGCCGTTTGAATTTTGACGATCGGCCCAGTAGTTTCGGAGTTAGGAGGGGGGGGGGCTATAAATAGCCCCCCCCCCCCCAGTAGGGCGTTTATACGCAGACCCCAGTGGGGCGCGGGTTAATTAGGTCAAAAGTAATAAGCGAAAAGCTTTTGACCTGTTTTAGCCAAATACTTACATTTATACCTCCCAAAACCACCCTAAATATTGACCTAGAGCAACCAAATTTGCACAGGGCGAAAATTCCGGGGAGACACATACCTACCAAATTTGGTGTTTTTAGGTGCCATAGGAGCCAATCGCGAAGGTAGTCGCATCGACCCCCCCCCCCCGCCAGGCCGCGTTATGAAAAATGCCCTGCCAGGGCGAAGGTTAATACATAAAAGGTGTAGAATTGCCAGGGTTACTAAGCCATTATCTCTAAATTTCGAAATTTTTAGATTTTGACCCTCAAAAATGGAAAAATGGATATAATTGCCGAAAAATCTCAACAGTTTTTCGATTTTCGAAAAAAAACGAAATATATGTATGTACTAGCGCCTATTAACTCCTATTCACATACCACATTCTAGATCGATACCTCTTTTGTTTTGCCAAGTTATAGCTAAAACACTTTTCAAAATTGATGACGTCAATTTTCAAACTCAATTTTTGCAATTCTATATCACCTACCGCAAAACAAAGACCACTATTAGACTCACCATGACGAGCTGCATCGAATCAATACCCATTATAGCACATTTCCTAGAAGACCCGTGAACGGCAAAACATTTCATCTTTGACCTGACCTGTGACGTCATCGGTGACCCGAGGTCAATGAAATCGGACATCCCTCGACAAATTTGACAGGGCTTTCGAACGCCGTTTGAATTTTGCGGATCCCTCAAGTAGCTTCGGAGATACGAGGGGGGAATAGCCCCCCCCCTCCCCCCTACCAGGTCGCGTTATAAACAAACCCCACCAGGGCGCGGGTTAACGGGACGGTTTATGTTCCAAATCAATCTTCACTCCTTCAGCGCTCTTTTCCACCGAGGCAGCTGGCAAGACTATTCAATCAGTATGTTTTGATATTGTTTGTGTATGCCTCTACAGAGGCATCGTCTGACCGCATAAATGTCACCGATGTGACCGAGTCAGTGTCTTGATATGGAGGATAGACATTGGCTTTCGTCGTGTGAGCGTTGAGTTGTGCAATATCTTATCTAGACCAAACAAACAAGTCAGTCACCGCGCATACTAGCAGCTGAAGCACCCAATACACTGATACACCATTGGCCTTGGGATGGGCGGTAGGGTGAACATTTCAGTTCAACATGGTGAGCATATACAAAGTTCCTTGCTGCTCTTGTGTCGGAGACCTCAGACGCAACGTTTCGTCGGACACACAGCCGTATCATTAGGTACGGAAAGAGTCGCCGGCATCGTCTTGATTAACCCAGTCATATTTTCATAACTTCACAACACGTATTTTTACAAACTTATATCGAACTAGCCCTCGCAGTTATAGGGGGGGGGGGGGGTCGAATGAGCCCCTTCATCGTTTTTTTTTTGTAAATAATTTGCGCAAAAAGTGGCTGATCGTGACGAAACTTTTAACACCCACGAGTCAATTAATCATACACCTACCCTAAAAAGTGCATGACCCTGACCCAAATGGCTTTTGGCCTGTGACCTGTTTCTCGGGATCATGTCAGGCTGAATCGCGATTCGACACCTATGTCTCAGCGCATGTTATCCGCGTGCGCTTCCAGTCTTTTGAGGTTGTAAACGCTCCAATATGTGAAATGATGATTGTAACACGCATTATTGTGGGTATCAAGGTCACATATGAAGATCAGATCAAGGTCATTGACCTAAGATGACATTGGTTCTCTTTTGCATGTTTTGCATATTTTCAGGAAAGGTTTTTGAGCTGATTTCGAATATAGGTACCATAGACCCGGGGACAGGGGGGGGGGCAGCGGGGGCGCTTGCCCCCCCCCCAACTTGAGAGCCGAGGGGGCGGCGCCCCCTCAACATTGATGCAGCGAGATAGGATCTTTCCTCCTTTTTCCGGACTTCTTTCCTTCTTGTTTCCTTTATACATCTAAACATCGACACACGGCATTTTCCTTGCCATCTGAATGCTTTCTGCTAATACAGTACCGATTTGACAACATCTGCTATTGTCATCCCGCTTTGGTTTGGGCCTGACCTTGTCCTTGGCCATAAGTTTGGCAGGCCAGATTTTATACTGGATCATTTTGAGTCAACTTTGAGAAATACATAACCTACAACGGTGGTAAAATCGTTGCTATAGGTATAACACAGTTTACCCGCTCCGGGTGTGAGGGAGGGGTGTGGGGCAATGAGTGCACTGATGTGGCGCCCTCGGAAGGCCGGTATGGGATTAAAGCTCAGCGACACTAAGGGTTTGTGTGGTGCCTTCGGTTATCGGTGGCACCGTCAGAATCACCGGCGTAGGGCCCTAACCAGCCGCCGGTAAGGGGCCTTTAGAGGCACCGGTGTGGGCGCTCGGAGGTGCTAGTGTGATTCTGTCAGAGGCGCCAATGAGGGTCCTTACAAGCGTTGCTGTGGGCCCTCATAGACGCTGGTGTGGAGCCGTTACAGACGGGTGTGGGGTCTTTAGAGCTGCTGACGCGAACCCTCTACAAGCCGGCAGGGGGTTCTCAGTGACCGGCAAAGGGCCCTTAGGCCGGCAGAACTGTGGAGCCCTTAGAGACCGGCATGGTACTGTCAGACGCCTGTGGGGCCCTCAGAGTCACCGGTGTGGGGCCCTTAAAGGTCACCAGTAGGTGGCCTTGAGGTGCGCAGGTGTTGGCCTCAGCCTGGGTCCTCAGAGCCGCCGATATAAGGCTTTAATAGGCACTGGTGTAGGCACTCAGAGTTAAAGGTGTGAAGCCCTCAGAGACACCGGTGTGGGTCCTCATAGGCGCCGATGAGGGCCCCCACAGTTGCCGTTATGGGACCCTCTGAAAAATAAGTGTGGGACCATCACAGGTGGGAAATGCCCCTAGAATTGGCCCCTCATAGGCCGGTAAGAACTCTCAGAGGCCAGTCCCGGGCCTTTGGAGACCACCGAGGGGCCTTTAAAAGCCGCAAGAGACCCTCAGAAGCCGGCGTGGGGCCTATGGAGATCTTAGTGTGGCTATTTAGGGCCCGTGAGGTGCTCTAACAAACCCATGGGGCCCTTCTGAGTCGAAATATGGCCATCGTTAACCCTCAGCGGTCAAAGCGGTCAAATGGCGCCGCATGGCCCATGGGATCCGAGGGTCCCTTTGAACCCGATGGGGGGAGGGGGGTACATGTCCCCTTAAACCCCTAGCTACGCCACTGTTTCATATGCATCATGTCAGGCATTTTAGGCTCGCCCCCCCCCCCCAACTTGAAAATCGTTCCCGGGCCCCTGATAGGTACCATTCATTTGAATATTTGATTAGTAGTTTTGATGCCTATGTAACATATTACGAAGCCATCAGTGGTGCTTGACACCTACTATGGATGGCTGGCAGAACGCCTACTGGTTGACCTGACCTGACCTGACCCGACCTAGCACAAATGCATGAATACACCATCGTTGATCAAAACTTCATGAAATTAGTAATTAGGACCAAAAAGAAACAGTCTCACTTTACAAATTCTAACAGGTGCCGATTTTCCCGACTTTTGGGTCATTGACCTGACCCGGAAGGTCACGCATTGGTCCAGGACCTTATAATCAGGTAGTATCGGCTTCCCTCATCACGGACAATACGTTCCTTTTTCCGGGAAGCTCTAGCTCGATCAGGGTCGAAACGGCTGAAGGGGGTCCCCCGTAATCCGTTAGATGCTGTGAAAAGGCCAATGCGGGTTAGGGTTAATGTATAGCGCCCGGCCCGCAGCAGTGAACCAGGAAGCATCTGTGACCGGACCAACAGGCCTTTAACCCGCGGGCCGCGACCCGGTGGGGGTGGGGGGGGGGGGGCAAAAGGCCCCCTCCCAGTGGTTATTTGCAGATAACTCAAAAACGGCGGCGAATTTCGACTTGAAACTTTCAGTATATCTCCGGACATCAATTTCACACAATTCCTGAAAAATTAGGTCCCAGGTCATCTTAGTTCACGAGCTATAGAGGTCAACCTGAGGTCATGTTCGGCGATTTTTCGTCGAAAAAGTTGTTCACGGAAAAAAATCGCAGAAAATCAGAGTTTTATTTAACCCGCACCCCGTAGGGCTATCGGCGGACCCTACCACCCGGAGGGAGGGGGGGGGGGGGCGTTTCGGCCCCCCTAAGATCTAGGAAATTTACCGACCGATTTTCAAAATTCAAACGGCATTCGATAGCCCCACCCGGAAACTACCTTGTGACCAAATTTCATTGACCCAGGTCAAACCGATGACGTCACAGGTCAGGTCAAAGGTCGGATTTTCACCGTTCACAGGCATTTCAAGAAATGTGTTGTGAAATCGAGTAAATTGGTAATTTATTGAAAACCATCGATGGTACATTGTTCGTCAAACACATACTTTGCTATCTGAGGTCACTGATACCAGGTCAGGTCACAGCGAGGTCAGGTCACCGGGGGTCACAATATGAAGTGTCGTGGATACATGTTTTATGGTCCATTTTACATGACAAATGCGATTATGTGGGTTAGGCAGCCTTTGGGGCCAGCCTAGGTCACGTTTTGGTGAAGGTCAGGTCAAGGTCAGGTCAAATTAGGTCAAATTTCAAAGTTGATATTTTTGCATAAAATAGGTATCGATTCGATGCAGCTCGTCACGGGGAGTCTAATGGTGGTCTTTGTTTTGCTCTACGAGGTCTAGAATTGCCAAAAATTGAGTTTGAAAATTTGACGTCATCTTTTTTGAACAGTTTTTTTTTTCGCTATAACTTGGCCAAAAAACGAGGTATCGAACTGAAATTTGGTATGTAGATAGAAGACGGTAGGTACTATCACATATATTCCGTTTTTTCGAAACTCAAAAAACTTTTATGAATTAGGCTAATATATCCAAAAAATGCTTTTTTAAATTTTGGGGGTCAAAACTAAAAAAAATCAAAAATCCGAGATAGCAGTTTTGTAGCCCTGTCAATTCTACACCTTATATATTTGATCATTTTTCTGTATCTTCAAAGCTGTAGGCCTGACAGGTCTTCTCGCGAAGGCCTTTTTTCGGTCGAAAATGACAGAACATGACGTCATTCTGACGTCATTTGTGTCCAACCTATCATAGCCGGTGGAAACATTTTTGGTCACAATGTGTAAAATTAATGCCCGGAAGGGTCCTGAAAGTTTGGTGGCGATATCTACAGCCGTTTAGGAGATATCGACGGAAAAGGACAGGGGGGGGCCGTTTCGGCCCCCCTACGGGGCGCGGGTTAAGTGACTCAAAAAATGGACCGTGTGTATCAAAAAGCATAGCAAACATCATGGCTATCTCGAAATTTCCAAAATATCAAAATCCCTAGATCTAGGGATATTCAAACTCAATATTTATATTTCTTTAGACATTTTCGAAGTTTCAGGAAATTTTCAGAAATCGGAATATATGTCACAGTCAGAGGGCCTACACATTCCAAAAATTAACAAAATATATCTAAAACTGCCAGAGATATAGCTATTTGAATGACTGAAAAAGTAGCGACTGTTCTTATGACGTCACAATAGGTGTTTTTGGTATTTGTGCTTGAAATCAGTAGGGAGTAGGTAATATTTATGATACTCATTAACCTCTTCCTGACTGAATGTGATCTTTTACGTGAGTAAAGTCACTTTTACGTAAAAATTATTTTTCGTTGTAAACCGGCACAATTTGACCTCATTTGACCTTCCTGTGACGTCATAGGTAAACAAAATGATCAAGGAGGTTCCTGTGGTTGCATATATATGACATGTCTTCATAAAGACTTGAATATTCACAATTTAACATGCCTTTCCTTACGATTCACGAAAGTGTTTTCTGATTGGTCGAGGCTGACCTCTGTTGTGACGTCACAGGTCATCATCCACTCAGGTGACAATCCACATGCCAGATCTATCATATGCATCATATCCACTCATTTTGTTGGATTTCATTTTTATGACCGACTTCTTGTCATTGTAAATTAGACTGATTTGACCTTGTTTGACCTCCTGGTGACGTCACAGGCCAAATATCAAGGTCATCGATATCCTATCTTGTGCATCTCGATGAGCTCTTTCGAATGCCTTTTGAATTTGTCCGATCCGGCTATTGGTTCCGGAGATACGACGGGGGGCCCTTTTGCCCCCCCCCCCCCCCCAGCAGGACGTGAAACTTGCGAGACCTCAACGGGGCGCGGGTTAACGATATTATTTTATGTTACGGGCATCTCGTCACTGGCGGAGATACCCAATTCTTAAAGAGTCAAGAGACATCATTATTTAACGATTGTGCATAGGCATATGTGCATATGCAATATGCATACAAAAGCTGACCTGTCACCCACTCCGAGAACTAACGGGACGCCAGTGCTGCGCTCATTTTCCATAACCGATATTTTATAGCTAGAACATGGACCTCTGTATACAGAGGCCTATATGGCTAGAACTATTTCTCAGCAGCACCTCTGTCGATAAGTCGCTGTACCCCCAAAGAGGCGCCGGTAAGGGGGTATAGGGCCTTGCCGGGAGGGGACAGGGGAGCGGGGTGGTCCTGTCCGCTGTCACCACCCCGGCTGGGCAGGCGCGCCAGCTCGCCAGTCGCCGCCCGCCGAGACCCAGCCGAGATGTGAGGACAGTGCTGCCGCACTGCGCAGCTGCGCCCCTCGCCGCTGGACAGTCGGGGCCCGGTCCAGGTGCCAGGGTCAGTCCGGGGCGCCCCTCACACCGACCCGGATCACACAGTGGTAGTGTCGGGCAGCAGGTGTCGGTGCCGAGCCATCCAGTGTGACACGGCGCTGCGGAGGTGTCGGTGTGTCAGTCGGTGTCGGTGTCAGACGGTGTCAGACAGGAGGCGGCGGCGCGCTGACGGTTTCTAAATCAGCCCGAGGGCAGGAGCGTAGTGCGGCGAGGTCACGAGCGTCGTTACGAGCGCCGAACCCTCGACAATGAAGGTGAGAGTGAGCCTCGCGCTGATACGGTGACCAGCGGCATCTGGGAGAAAGAATCTGATACCTAATATTGAGCTTCGCATGATGTAAAATGCTTTTGGTAAGATAAATCATAATGACAATGTGACGGAGCATCACTCGTTGCGCAGAGAAAAGGAGGTCTAGAAGAAAAAATAGAGGTCAAGCAAACGTACAAAAACGAGAAGCTGAAAGAAACGACGCTAACGCAACGCCCCTCAATAAATAATAAATAATACTCATAACTTAAGTAGGATTCAATCAACCCAATCTGGTTAAGCAATGGAGGGCAAGTGTTACGAAAACGGGTGATGTTCGTCACATACTAACTAACTCACTTACTAACTCACTCGTTCATACATTCTTCAAAATCATCGGCATTACCTACGGCAAAAGCTGATTTCTGCCCGCAACCTGCCCGCTGAAAATCGTGCCTTTGCCACTTCATTTCCCATTCTTTCCCATTCCCTGTGAACTGGCTTGAGTCTTGACCGTATTATGCGCCTGCGAGGGTTAACAACATCACTGCCTACCATGCACTAAGGGCGATTCGTCCTGAAATATACAGCTTCGATTGGGGACACACACTGGCTTCTTGGCTAGTCATCACCTAAAATTGAACACGTCAATGCACATGGTGCCTTTGTCATAGGATGACTGGATTGCACTCCACCGACGGAGCCGAGCGATTTAGCGAGCCATTCGCTGTTGAACGATCACAGACGTTCGCATGCGTGCGTCCGGATTCACAATGCAAATGCACATTGCATACACAAGGACAACTTGAAAACCAATAAAAAGTATATGGTTAAAAGCTACAAAGAAGTTGATTCATTCATTATTTCATCGTCTTCAGTGCTGTTTGCTTAGGTTATAGATAATATAGGCATTAATAAATAGGTAATTCATGCAAGTTGATTTGTTCGAGGGTGCATACTGCATGTAAGAGCCGCGGAGCAATCTCACTGTATGAGCCGTGCACCATACAGCACGCACGCACATGGACATGCAACTGTACACCATGCATATATTTGACTTCGACAAATACCTACAGACAGCTATAGTTAACCCGCGCCCCGCTGGGGGGGGGGGGCAGAATCTGCCCCCCTCCCGTTTTTCGCCAATAACTTCTAAACGCGTTAAGCCAGCAACGTCAAACTTTCAGTACCTTATTATACATTAATTTGACACATTCCCTGAAAATTTGAGCGAAATCCGTCGGAAAATTTTTGAGAAATCGACGTTTTAGTGACGTCATGTTCGCCATTTTCGCCTCAAAAACGGCAAAATTTCAAACGCCGCTAACATCTTCATTTGTAAAGGAATCAAGACGAAACAAAAAAGATTATACGCGATTCTACTTTGTCTATCAAATGGCTATCTCGGTTTTTTAAAAATTTTGGATTTTGGCACATTTTTTTTTTAACTGACTTTTTTGGGAAAATAATTATAAAATCCAAAATTTTGAGTGTATCAAAAAACCGAAATATCTGTCAGAGAACTGGTCTATGTGCACCTACATACCAATTTTTAGAAGAATCGGTTCAAAAATGTGGGAGTTATTCAAAATTTTATGACGTCACGACACACAAAAATTTTGAAAAATGATTTCTTTGGAAGTTCTAGACCTCGTACGGGAACAAAAATAGCACCATTCGATTTGCCGTGAAAAACTGCATCAGATAGACACCTTTTTAGGCCTTAACCCTATTAGTGGCAGGGGGGTTGTTTTCATCCACCCCTCAGGTTTTTCGAGAATATCTCCGAAACCGCTAAAGCTACGATGCTGAAATTTTCTGACTTTTCCTAAAACTAAATTGGGCACATTCCCTGAAAATTTCAAGTTCATAACTTTACCAGGGGCGGCTCCAGAGCACTGGGAATTGGGGGGTCCTATTCTTGAAGCGAGTCATTTGGGCGAAGATCACGATGCTGCACCAGTTTTACGAACAGTGAATGAAAGGTTTCATGTGATAACATATACAGTTATTGTGCATCCTCTTTTGACACGTTTTTGCTATAATAGGCGGATCCAGGCGTCCAAAAAGGGGGGTTATGTTTTACCTCCCAACATAGGTGCCCTGACACCGCCTATGCATGACCAATACAATTGTAGTCGTTCTCTCATAAGAAAATTGTAACATAACAAGACCATTACCACCCTTTTTAGAAACAGTACCAACAAAAACCTTATTTACTATACTTTTTGTGTACCCCCAATCTCAATGATCTGTATCCGCCTATGATTTTTGAAAATGCATATTTTTAGGATCCATGTGAATTCCTGGTTCATTCTCTATCGATCAGCAAAAGTTGCGTTAAGATTGGTTCAGAAACCTGGCCGTGATAAACAGTCTAAAATGTATCTGCAATTTGCCCGTTTTTACCCCCCTCTACCCCCCTATTGACATTTTTTAATTTTTTATTTTTTAGAAATGTAGATCACGTTGAGCGAAATCGAATGCCGTTTGAATTTTGAAAATCGGCCCGTTAGATCTCGAGATATCAAGGGGGGGTCGTAAACAGCCCCCCCTGCCACTAATAGGGGTAGCCAGGAGCCTGCCACTAATAGGGTTAACAACCAACTTCAAAATTTGACCTCACTTGACCTGACCTTGACCTGACCTCGACCTGAAATTCGTCCAGAGGTGGTCCAGATCACTTATTGAGTGTGCCTATTGAATTCTATGAGTAAAATGACCCATAAAACATGTGTCGCACATGCCCTTTTCTATATTTTGTTTTTGGTGACCTGACCTGACCTGACCTGACCTTGACCTTGACCTTGACCTTTGAATGACATTGTATGCAACGAATATTGTCTTGGTAGTCTAAGAACACGTTTTGGGCAATCTGCCTCAGTCCATTCTTCGGCAACTACGGTGCAAGGCCGATGCTGTAGAAACTTGCATTTTGTACCCTTGACCTGATCTTGACCTGACCCCTGACCTACTTAAGCAAAAAAAATTGGGCTCTTAAGATCCGCCTTGTTGAGAGCTTTCGATTGCCGTTTTCCCCGTCTTTCTACGACTATCGGTTCGGAAGTTAGATAGGGGGGCAGAATCTGCCCCCCCCCCCCCAGCAGGGCGCGTATGGCTGAATAGCCCAGCGGGGCGCGGGTTAAGGTATTGCGCCCATGAGCGAGCTAAGAGTTGTTGCTTTTTTTACAATGGTCTTATCAAATGCTTGCAGCGGATGGATACCTAACCGGCTAGTATGACAAAAAAGTACAAAAAGGTGACAAAAGTACGCGCAGGGTTAGAAACGGATAAGTGCACGATTTATGCTCGTGGCTATCCCGGCAGCTGATTGCCGCCGAGGTGTCATTTGTGGGATGTGTGGTTCTGTCTGATTTTCCGTCAGGTGGACGCGGCGTCGGTGTCCCTCCTGTTCGGCGACATGCGCCGTCTGGACCAGGCTCTGGAGTCCCGCAGTCAGAGTTGTCACCCGCTCTGGATCCTGGCGGACGGTCTGGTGTCCACGCTCAGAGGCATCGCACAGGTGAGGCCGCTGTAAAGCGCAACAACGTAAGACGCGAAGGCCGTCTTCCTCCGCACCAACGTAAGGACGCTGTCCGACTCACTAACGTAAGGCTGCTGTCCGGCGTAACGGAAGGCTGCTTCGCGCAATACCGTAAGGCCGCTGTACGACGCCACAACATAAGGCTACTGTCCGGCGCAACAACGTAAAGCCGCTGTCCGGCGCACCAACGTAAGGCTCCTGTTCGCGCAACAACGTAAGGCCGCAGTGTCCGGCGCATAAGGCCACTGTTTGCACAACAACGTCAGGCCAATGTTCAGCGCACCAATGTAGATCGTTGTCTGCAATGGCAAGACTATTGCGTTGAATGTACATTTGTGCAGTGTGTATTTATGAAATAAATGGTATGGATATTGTTTTAATGTCTGAGATGTCAACGTCACACACTTCCCCGCACTGTATGATAATCGGTATTCGGCTAACAATATTCAAAGAAAATGTATTTCTAAGAGTATCGTGTCATTTTGTTGGTTTGACGAAGGCTTGTAGCCGAAAGCTCACCGCATGGACATTCGAGGCATGAAAGGCAAAAAAATCGACTTAAAAAAATCAACTTTTGGCATTGTTTTTACTTCTTCGAGGAAAAGTTCAATCTCGCTATGTTCCTCGCTAAAGCACGTCACACCATGAAAACTGTGTGGATGAAGTTGCAGGGCATCACATTGACTCGAATCATTCGATATAATGGGTAATGACATTCTAGCGGTCTTTTCATAATAACCACATATTATGCGAATAATTGTTTATGAGGCACTGATGACTTTGTGGATTTTCCGGTTTTTTTTTGGGGGGGGGGGGGAATGGAGGAGGACTTGAGCGCAATCGTGCAGTCATGAAGACGGTAATTGATTTCTTAAATAGGCCTTGTGATTTTTATATGTGGGCGCTTGCCAGTGAACACAAAGCCTCCCCAGCCTCAGGGACATTTGAAACAGCTCACCAATTTCGAATCGCACTTCTCATCAAATGCATGAACGCAAACACAAGGCCCTGTATTCCTCAAACAGATTAGGGAAGCACCACTCCACAGACCATAATTCTTCGACATTATCAGTTCACCTTGCACGGTATCAGCAGCAGGTGAACTCCTCGGCTTAGTGCGAGTGTGGTATCAGGTTATGCAGTGAGTCAGGTATGAGATATAGGCATACTCGTATCTGTTATCTCGTATCTGTTATACCTATGCAGTATGCATCCTTTGTAATGTTACCGATGCCGATAAACCCATGCCGGTCTGGCAGTGCTGTCCTAAGCCAGAGCGCTACTCTTGTGAGTTCTTCTGAATTACACTCAGCTTAGTATACATAGAACAGATCGGATATAGGTTTGTACCGGAGAGGGGTATGAATTAGAGTAAAATCTGCTAACCAGCGACCATCCACCCTTTCCCTGCCGACCACTCGGGAGCCAGTCCGCGCCGCCGTTTATAGTGGCTTATATGGGTTTATAGGGCCTCGATGGGTAACGGAGGCGCTCCGCGCCGCCGTTTTTGGCACACCTGTTCGTGCATCTTTTCCGCACATGTTGTGAAAATTTCAGACCCAGGTCGCTCAAGGTCAGGTCACCAGGTCATGTCAAGTGACCTCACCTCAGAAAAAAAAATTAGAATGTTCGTCATAGCTACACCGAGTGAACGATTGCCTTGAAACTTTCAGCGATTCATAAGAGTAACAGTATCTATAAAATGTTAATCTCGGAATTTTGATATCGGTGACCTAAGGTCAGGTCAATTTGCGGTCTCTCCATTATAAGTCAATGGGAGAAAATTGAAATGCGCCTCTTTTGGACGAATGATGTTCAAAACCCACTCAAACATCGGTTCATAGGTAAACATGACACGCTGAATCGGAAAATGCGCCTGTGACCCCTCTGTGTGCCCCTGAGGTCATCTCAGGTCATGAACGGTCACCAGCAGTTTTTTTGGCTATAACTTTTGATTAAGACCTGCTATGCTAGAGCGATGAAAACACGTCAGATGTATTCAGCTCGACGATGCGGATCGACTGATATGCAACATGACCCTTTCCGGTCAGGTCGTGACCTTGACCAGAGGTCTAATTTTCAAAATGACCTTTTAAGGTCAACAAATAGTACATTCGAAGCGTCTCGACGAGAGGAACACGATGCTGCCAAAAGTAATGTCGTGGCTCTCTTGAGTCAAAAGTTATTGACGAAAAACCATTTTCGTTAAAACTGTTATTTTTACAGTTTTTGCCCTCTGGAGGCTGAACCGTTGACCTGAGGTCAAATCTGAGAGCGTTGGTCAGAAAGGTCTGTAAAATGGCTATCGAATGCGCTTTTCTGCGGCGCTGTAGCTCTATTGGTTCCCGAGTTAGCCGTTGGCAGTTTCCAAAACTGGTGAAATGGACTACATTTGACCTTTGATGACCTCTGGCGACCTGAACTTTGACCTGACCCAAAAAATGACCGAAGTGTTTCCGTCATTATTTTTTACGCTTTTTCGAATGCCTCTTACTGCGTGTCGCTAGTGCTACGTGGCCCAGGAGCCGAGTTAGACGGGGGAGGGGGGTGTTCAGACCCCCGGCCCGGCGCGGAAGTCGCGGAGCACCGGCCCGTCGCGGGTTAATTTGCATCCATAAAAGCACTGTGGATGTGCTTAGGTGTAGATTCGCTGAATTTTTTTTTTTAACGTCACCCCCTATGTCGAGCCTTCCGCTCCAGCCAAAATCAGAAGCTGATCATGCAGACTGGCGTTAGCAGTTGATACCCATTCTCCCTTACCTTGTGTCCTCCTCTTTTCCATCCCGCGCCCCAGTGGCGGTCTCAGCCAACTTCGCCCTAGTGGGGGGGGGGGGGGCATATGTTTTTTTTTTTTTTTTTCTAAGATAGTCCGTTACCCATGATCAGGTAACCAGGAGTGCCCCCTCCCACAGTCCCGGCGACGCACAGAGACCTTACTTTAACACCAGGTAACATAATAAATTGATCAAGTCGCGGCACTCCCTGCTAAGAAGTGGAAAATATAAATAAAATATAACGCATGCAATACTACTAAAAAATGTTAGTAAGTACGCCAAAAAGGAGGAAAGTAGTCATTGCCGAGTGAAGCAAAATGACTGCCCACTATACCAACACCAGCAACTATCATTTATACCAGTGTTAGTAATTAACGCAATACGCATTCATACTCAGGTGGGGAAAAGCATGCCTGGTCATGTTCTTGCAAGGTCATTTTTATTGCCGAAACCCTTGGCTCCGTCCGGCTAAGCTAGGCTTGTTGCCGGACAGAACCTCAGGAAACAGCACGGACTAGAGTATTCTGAGAATTGGTACAATAAGTTGTATAAATGTCAATGTAGGTAATGCATGTAGATACCATAAGATAAATATGCAAATTGAAATAGACTGATTGAGAAGGGTGGCACACAAGGATGTATTGTAGTTGGTATTTAAAATAGGTATACACGAATCGTTATGTTGTGTACATGTATAACAACCACATGCGTACATATATGCATATGCATTATGTATGCAAAACATACACACATACATACACATACGACACATATGCATCCCACAAACCAAAGTGGGTAATATGTGCTATTTCCAACGCACAGTACAACGTGGAAATAGCACATATTTACACAAACCCCTAACGATATACGAACAGTATAGCTATACACAATATATAGGTAGGTATAATGTTTGTCGCTATGAGGTTGATTATTCTTATTATTGTTTTGATTGTTCATTAATTGTTCATATTTATCTTAAGTGTTGTATGAATCAACAAAGTGTCTGCGTATCACCTTCTTTATTATTTGTTTTGAAGATGGAATATGATTAATAGTTGTGAAAAGAGGTGCAACAATGCTATTCCACAATCTAGGACCTAGAAATCTGATAGTAAATAGTCTGTAGTTGCGATTAGAGAAGGGCTGGTTGAAGTGAGTGGTACGCCTCGTGCCGGCATGGTTTTCGGGACTCAAATCAAACAGGTTCTTAATTGTTTCTGGAAGTTGTTCTTTAATGAATTTGTGCATAACAAGAAGCATATGAGATCTCGCTATATCAGTTATCCTTAATAAGTTATATTTTTTGAAAATAGGCACAGAGCTCTGCGGTGGGTAAACTCGTTCAATTAGTCTGACAGCTCTCTTTTGTAATATGATGAGTTTTTCTAACTGAGCATGGTAATTATTTCCCCATACGATACAGCAATAGTTAAGATATGGAAGAATTAGGGCATTATACAAAAGGAGGGTCGTTCTCTTATCAATATAGAAGCGTAGTCTTGCTATTATTCCGATGTTCCTGCTAACGATATTTGATGTATAGTCTATATGTTTTGTGAACTTCAATGACTTATCGATGAAGACTCCTAAATATTTGATAAACTCTTTCTCTTTAATTTCAGTTGAATCAAGTACTACATTTACTGTTAACCCTGAAGACTGAGTTGCATAATGCTGTGTGAAAGTTTTTGTGCCGTTTAGAGAAATAAAGTTTGCATGAAACCAGTTACTGACTTTTTCAGTAACTTCATTTACAGTTCTTTGTAGGCTATGTATGCATTTATCTTTAAATATGATTGCAGTGTCATCTGCATAGGAGAGGCAAGTTACGTCAGGACTGATGTTTGGTAAATCATTTATATATAATATAAATAACAGAGGACCCAAGATCGATCCCTGCGGAACTCCCATAGTAACATTTTTGACAGATGAGTATGCTTTTCTTATTTTCACACATTGCTTCCTTTCTTGCAAGTATGAAGATAATATTTGTTGTGATTTGTGTCTTATACCATACCTTTGTAGTTTTTGTAGTAGCAAATCAATGTGCACCGTATCAAAAGCTTTTCTTACATCTAGAAATAAGCCGAGCGCAAAGTTGCCCTCTTCAAAGGCTTTAGTAATTATATCTTGTAGAAGAAGAATCGGCATATAAGTTGACTTTCCTTTTTGAAAACCAAATTGATTACAGTGAATTATGTTGCT